TCGAGACAACACAGAAATAAAAAAGAAACGTTGATACTGAGGAGGAGGTTACAACACAGCAATGGGCGTCAAGGTCGAACTGACGGTTAAGCTGGCCAGAGCGCCAACCAAATCAACGAACCGGTGACATCACCGAGCGGCGAATGACGTCACGCAAACGCGTGCCGTCTGCTTGAAGAGTGACTAATCCATGCAGGCCGGATCGATGTAACGAGCAGCAAAAGACGAATAAAAGGTTTCTAAAACAGCATTTAATGTGTCCCTCTGGATGCCTGCGGCGAGTATTGAGCGGTAAAGTAAATAGAGATATCACACCGCTCTCACTAGTTGCCTCGAAAGGAGGACTTCAATCACTAAAATACCACGAGTATTCCGAGAAAAAGAAATGAAATAACTTGACATTCAGCCTGCTCGCTACAGAAGCCTTCACTAGCTCGTACTGTAGTTCACTTGCCTGGTGAATCAACTGAATGAAGATGCGCCACCGTTCTATTTCATCGGTAGTAGCTCAAACTGAGTTTGAATCAAGTGAACTTTTCAAAGTTATGATGCGGCGGATTGCATAAATAATGCATATTGATCGCTTTAAATAGAGAGTTTTACCAACCAGTCCCTTCGAAACGTTTTACTTATGCTGCATACGATTGTACTGTTGAAATTTTCCCAGACTACGGTTTTCTGCTTATTTTGTATTCTATTCTGAGAGACTTCTACTCTGAAAGTTATTTTAATTTCTTCTCATAAAATTCGGCGGGCGAACGTTTGAGCAGGCGCACACATACGGCCAATTCAACACAAGCTTACCCACACTGCGGACGTTAAGGAACCGACTGCGCTAACTTATCGAATTGGAATAACGTTGAACCTGAATACTGAAAATTATTCGACATCTTTTTAGGGCAAAAACGTTTTGCTCGGCGCAATGACAAAGCCGCAATGACAAATAATGTGAGGCAGGCCATTAGACATTAACTGCATTGGACCGTTTTTGACAATTATTTTTTGGCAACACAGACAGTACAGTTCGAATCAGTCAACTGATTTCCTAGTATATAAGAAAACCATTTGCTTTCGTCATCACTTAATTTAATGTAGACTTACTAAGCCTAGTATTACATCTTTTTACGGATCTGGCGAGCGCTAACGTTGCTTTAAAATGGATATATTCCCCAGGTCGCTGATTTGGCGCGGTCTAGGTTAAGACACTTCACATGTCCGCAAGTGTCGAGTGACCTAATACTTGAATAAATAGAATATCCTAGTGAAACACAATGCCGTAACGAAAAAGATTTCAGAGACTTCGATCTTTCGGATCCCCCCCCTCAAGTCAAACTTCTACTATGGATTTCGTTCACCAAAAATTCTCGAATAGAATACAATATTCTATTTCATATGAGCCGACTAAGGCATGCATCTCTTGCCTAGTAAGACGGATTATATATACATGCTATACCTACGATTTGTATGAATAGTCAAGAGAGCAGATTTTTACTCTTTGAGATGGTTCCAAATGGAGGTAGGTACGCAACACGATGGTTTTTATCTACCGAAGCTTCGGTTCCAGTATAAGCAAGCTGTAGGTTCGGTGACAGGGAAACTTCGTTTCCAAACATATTATAAAGAACAAATGAATATTACCTAGAACTATCGAATGCGAAAAGAAGCAGTACGGTGTCTTGGCCTGTAGTTACACTGACTTGGATTTTTCGACAGGTAAACTAAGTAATTGTAGGAAAGCATACCTATACTCAATCCAAGTAGACAGCCAAAAGGCTTCAAGTTTCCTTGCTATGTTACACTTTCTCCGCTATCTAACCCTATCACATAGCATAGCCATCTCACGATGTGTTACTACATACGCCATTCTGAATACTATTATGTATTTATTCTTCACATTGTCATTTCTTGCCGACGCCCCAGAGGCAGAGTGAAATATATATCGGATTGTGTAACTATCTTTTGAGCGACAATGATGGCAGTAGAACTTGCTGGTTCTCCCAAACACGCAAAAAATGAAACTTTTTGCGTGTTTCTGGTTTCTACTATAATGCACAGGATATGATAATGATCAAGTTGAAAGGTAGAAAGAAGGTAGCAAGGGAGTTAGGGGAATGGGCAGTAACCTAACGTTAACGGAACGCGGAATATAGTGGACACGAACCCAGCCCTTCATGTATAGAGACCGGCCGAAAAAAGGACATCCGCTATCATCCAGACAAAACAAGACACCGCGCCCAACGACGATAGACGACAGATCAGTTAACACTGGCGACGACAACACCGAAGACGTCAACGGCAGCTAACGGCCCGCTAGCGGACGCGGAACGTCTGATTAGCTAGAGCGAGGGGGGTTTGAAGAACGGGAAGGGGGACAACTCCAGCCATTTCCGAGTTTCGCGCATAGGTCTGGTACACGGCAACATTTCAGCACTACGATTTAACGGCTATAGCTAACGTAGCACGAAGAGTCCTGCTGCCGCTGTTGCGAGAGGTCTGTGGTAGACGAGAACACTGCCGTGCCGCTAGGTGGGCCGGCCATTCGTCTCAGACACCTTGGCTGCACTTCGGTTAAGCAAGGAAACCTTAGGTTAAGTCGTGCTGTTCAGCTATTATCTTCTAGTGATCTTGCATCTGCCTAATGAACTCAGGTAGATTTTCAACACAGCGCTCACGGAGGACGCACGTTCTTACGGTAGTATGTATACAATACTGCTGCAGGCAGTGTTGTGTGCGCCGACAACAGAAGCAGTATAAGAAACGTCATACCGTTCAATGTTTAGCTGTCATTGCCGTATTGAGGAGTCGTTATGTGTTGCTTCATTGCCTATTCGTAAGTAAGGGTTTATTTGGTTTTTGGCAGCTGCGCTAGGACATGCACACCTGACGTGGCTGAGACCGTTTCCTTTAACAGGGGGAAAAGCAAGAACTTACCTTCGAACTATGGTATTGGTACGCAACCGTGGTAGGAAACCGATAATTGAAAGTAGCTTGATTAATATACGTATGTATCTGTGTAGCTTTTAATTTTTTAGCCGATACCAAAAGTTATTATAAAAGTTACCTATACGACCACTTATAACCAGTACGACCCTTTCTTTAACATTACACGTCCTAGTCCAGGCAGAACTTCACTCGTGTATTATACAACCGGTTCATATTCAGTACACTTTGTACCCAGACTCAAACAATCCACAATCAACACATTCATTATTTCTTTTTGCGCACCAAATTACTTAATAAGTAAAATCCAAGTGCTTCAGACAACATTCACAGTAAATAGTGTCGTCAGAAACGTTCGCAGTTTCTGATGGAACTATTTACTTTTCGAATGCCATCTGCTTATAATATCATTTGGTCTCTAGTTGTCGATCTCGAACCGTTGACTGGACAAAATGAGCCGCCCAATGTGTCCTAAAGCGTGATCAACGCACATTCTTACATCTCGAAAATGTGTTTGGGCAGGGTGCACTACAAATGAAGAAGAAGTAAAATAGAATAACGTCTTTCACACACAGACGCAAGTCTACCGTTGATGGTCTCATACACTTAGAAATCGCTTAGCAAGAATCTTATGTGGATGATAGAACGGTCTTTTTTTCAAATAACATCAAAGGGGCAAGGTTTCGTCTTGACGGCAAACCGAAGAGTGGATCAGCTAACGGTTTTTATCCTTTCAGAGGTAGGCTATAAATACGATCTTGAGATACTGTGAAAGCGCCATGAGGCTACCCTAGCAAGTCTTAGACTATTGTCTTGAACCGATACTCTCGGTAAGAACACAGTTTGGATAACCTACTCCCGTCAAAGTGTCATTAAATTTTCATGCGTGTGGCTAGCCACTTGTTCACAAGCGGAGCACAGACTGCTCCTCATGAATCGCCTCATCTACCGCCGCCTATAACTGCATCAAAATAGTGCCACTTGTCATTAGAAAATAACAACAGTGGCTTCAAGAGAACTCAGTTCAGTTATTCGTCTGTTTTTGAATAAGACGAAAACGGACCGCTGTGTCGATAAAAAAAGAGCACCTAAAGACAACACATATTTAGCGTCATCATCGAATACGTCGAATACAAAGCCTTTGTAGAGCCACAAGTCCGTATTCAATGTCCAAGTACCGGAAGATTCACTTGAGCACCAACAAAAACGACTAACGGTACTTTTGTACGTCATAATAGACAGAACCTATGCTAGCGATACAAAGGGAAAATTATTTACCTAAAACCCCCCATAAATAACTTTATACAAAACAAACGACTATGGATTTAATAACCGAAAAGGTGATTTAAATAAAATACCGAAGTGTAATTTCCGCATGTCGTCGCGTTTCATTAACAGTTTCCTAAACGTAACACCTCTGAGGCTCTTGCTAGTTTCATAAATCAAATGAATAAATAACTACGAACAATAATAATAGTAGAAAAATTCGAATCTAGATACAGGCCTATGAGAAGATGAGATGTAAATCGCACTCAAAAATCACATGCACCCACAATTCCTATGCTGCACAGTAGTTCAAAGCTTTAGTTCCGTTGCCCTTTTCTAGAGATTCGGTTTTACAATGATGTGAACCTATTACGAATCAATTGAGATTGCTCCGACTACCTCGAAAGAGATATGGCAAAAATAAAAGTAACAATTTTAAAAAGCAACGGGAAAGATTAACGACCCTGATATGTTCGTTGCAGTTTCACATTTTATTTAGATGGCGCTATTCTAGTGAATCGCTTACGTCAGCCACTTGGCGACGCCAGACGACATGGCACACGCCCGTACAGACACGGATAGGTGGTAAGATTTCCGCTACCGTTACCAACGTTATAGTCAGGCACCAAACTTATAGGCACAGCAGATATTCGGTCATACGAAAAACTTATGCGTATAATATAAACTTATGTATATTGCTATGTTCCACAATCCACTGGGGTGCTCATTAGCTGGTAATCAACTACATTAATAAAATAATAATCACGATTATTATGACACTAGATTCTACTAACTTGGTATCATCTCGAGGTCGTTTCCGTTGGCACTCCAGTATGCCTCGAGGCGTAAACGGATTTACGTTAACCTGTTTCCGTTCGATTAGTGGGGTCTTCATTGGCAGTCGGGCTTGTTTGGCGGGCGTCTGCCGGGCAGGAGGTCCTGGCGTTCGCATGCCGGCCAGACGCGACAAACGACGAATCGGTGAGCCCGTGTCCTCGAACAGCCGAGTCCGTACCCGAGTTTCGCTTCTATCCCGCTGACTACGTTCCAGTAGTGTTTTTGGTGTCTGTGGCGAGTTAATTAGACGAAGCGTTCGAAGACCCTTAGTGGGTGGCGAATGTGACGCGTCTTGGGCAACCGGCGTCAACTCGGGTGTCAAAGGTGCTCGCCGCATGGGTGTCACTTTGCCAACCTGTTTCTGTTTGGGCTTTGGCGTTTGAGGAACAAGGCCCGGATCCGAGCCCGAGTCGGTCGAGCTATTTAATTCTTCTGCAGGATCGTCCCCAAAATAGAGCCGCTGGCAACAATTGTCTGACATCCTGCCGTTGTGGCGGAATGTCTAGGCCAAAACTGAAGCAACCTTTTGTCGTCGTTAGGCAACCAAACTGAGAGAGATAGGAGACGTTCGAAAGAGAACGATCGCAATCGTTAATGTTGGAGCGGTCCACTGTCCAGTAATTGTTATGGCACAAACAAGAACGATAACAGTACAATGCTAGCAATGGGAAAGACAATGGCACTCAACGTTTGCTAAGAGTAAGCTTTAACAACTATCTTCTCGTATACCCTTTCATTAACAATTTCGAATTCACCTAGCTACGCGACTTGTTGCAGCCTTACTTCTCACACGTAAGCTAGCTCTTCGAAGCACACGCAAAACAAAATTCGCAACGATCACTAGTACCACCTTCCTCACACCATGCATATTCTAGATCAACTGAACGGTTATAGAGCCGGCTTTCGAAACCACCAAATCCAGTTGAGCGCCAAAATTTCGACCAATCGGAGAGCGAGAAAGGGAGACAGATCAGCAAGTGGAGAGGGCTATTTGAATTTTCGCGGAGACCCATCAGATCGCGGATAGTTTCAAAAACGGTGTAGAACAGTAATAACATTTTTAATTAAATCATTGTGGTGCATCAGAAACGTACGGATATTGATCTACTGGTCAATCGACTTTGTTTTTTGGTAGATCCGAATCTGCTAAGTAATTTCTAAAATGCAGCAGTTCTACCTATTTGCTGAACCTATGTCCATTTATAGCGTTTTAAAATTAAATTGAATTATTCGAATTCGTTATCACTACAACACGTTTTGTCTAGCGCTTAGTGAAACGACGACATGCTATTAGAATGTCTTAAATGTCGTAGAAAAAATTGCAGCATATTGTCTTTCACATAGTAAAAAATAACATAATACATGTGACGTAACGAAGGATCTTTGCAGTAATCGATGTTAAGCGTCAGTATAGAATTAATCCTAGTTATGAATCAGGATGTACAATACGTCTTGAACGTCATTGATACTTTTAGCTGTGCTTCAGCTCGGTTTGAAGAAACGGATTTAGAAAATCTTCATTGAAGCCTGAATTGTAAAACAACGTATACTCAGTCAATGGGATTTGTAGTCAATGGAACATATATATATATATAATTCATCATGAGATATACACACGTTTGTAGTGCAGCATATATATGTAACAGTTATTTTCACTTGAAACTTGTTAAACAGTAAATCCCGACAAAGTTTTTTAAAACAAAGCCAGAGGTCCGACATGAATTTTAAAGCTCTACGCTAAAAACTCCCAGCTGCAAAGAACGACATACGTCTTCAATCCGTTCATTATGATCATTTATTTCAAATGTTTTTACATCCAAGGTGTGCAGTCATGTCTAAGCACACAAAATGTAATCGTTGTTCTAGACAACTACAAAATGTTGTAGTTATAACTGATTTTATTCATCTACTTCTCACTGTATTTTATAAGAGCAGAGGTGATAGGCAATCGTAGTAGTACGCTTTAGATCGATCGATACAAACATATTCAGCCAAAATAATTCGTGTTGTTGATATGCACTTGTTTCTAGTGGTCGAAAACTACCGCAACCGTTACCGCTTCCACATAGTACATAAAGGCCTTCCTTTGCCTGGCGGGTGTACCAATTTGACTTTATCTAGAAAAAAATGTTTAATTTATTTGAATTACCAGTTTTTTTTTGTTTGATATTAAACACTATTTGTATAATCTACTTGCACGATCTCCGTTTGATGAGCGCTACTCAGTTGTTGTAAATGCTGGAAAAATGATCGTGCTACAAGGATTACTACCAAACTCCACAAAAAATACGTACTGTACATACAATGATGTGTTATTACTACTATTCATTGGGAGGTATAATTAAGGTATACGTATGAACCCAGCCGCACGATCGTAAATACTTTCGTACTATTATTATATTACTATACCTATATTACTAAAACTACCACTAACGTCTAAAGTTTACATTTCTTTAAAAAAAATTGTATGCTTTTTTAATATAACTTTTTATACACTTTTATTATAGTAAGGAAACGTCTTTAGCTTCTCCCTGGCCTTCATTATGGCTGATGGTCAAAATTCATCAGAAATATTCCCTTTAGAAATAAAAACACAGAATATGACACAGCCTGATCAAAAACGAGTTTTACTTCAAATATTATCAGATTATATATATATATATATATATATAAGAATTTCCGAGTGTGGCATTTGTAGCGATAAGAGTCACTTCATGGCGAATCTGGCAGCCTAGAATAGGTAGTACTTTCCATTGTTTCATTATATGCTAACAAATTTTAGGATGAATCATCAAAGGAGACACCTGTCTCGTATTGAAAAAGGAAGATGATTCCTGAAATTACATATACTTCTCTTGGACCCATAACTCATTCAGACATTGTTAGGTAAATACCCTTAAATTGGCACTTTTTTTACTGTTCTTCAAAAACCCGCTTGTCTTCCACAACTGAACGCTTCGAGAAGAGTAAACGCCATTTAATCGAAGTGGTTTATTGGTCTGTCGATTTCCACTTTATTTATTGATGACAGCACAATACAGTATCATTTCAGTATTGTAAATGTTCCAGAAGCAACAGCTTCTACTTTATGTAAATACTAATTTGTCCATAATAGATAAGCAACAATGGCTACCAGGACAATACAAAATTTCCTTGAATGCACAATGTTGCCTGCCATACAGTTTCTTTTCCATCCAATTGACGTCAGAAGAAGGCAGACCTAAAGAGGATCTATTGCTATAGCAAATTTAAGAAGTGGAATAAGAATATGTATGTATGGAAATGTGATGCGGCCCAAGGCCCTAAACCTGACCATGTCTGTCTTAGACAGTGGGCTGCCTTGGTCCAGAATCTCTTTCATTCCTTCTATTTATTTATCCTTACGAGCGATTGTCAATCACCGTCTATCTACAAATAAACCTTAAATCATATTAATAAGAGTAATAATGTAAGAATGTATATACATGAGCTATTAAGGAAGGCCAAAAACAAAACTATCCTAAGGTGAATAAGCATATTGAATATTATCACGGGGAAACTCAATATAATGTTTCGAAATAATAGCGATAAGTTACGAGTAGGTGCTTTACACGCTCGTATAATTTAAGTGCAACTTGGATATTCCTTTCACTACGAACAAAGATTTTGAATTCCAGCATTGAAGAAGGAAACGATTACTGGAAAAAATTCGTCAATATAAATAATGTATACAGACAGATAACGGTCATACTAATTCGGCTCAATTAAAGTTAAATTCATGATGCCTAATTATAAGGATTTCAAACTAACCTTATATATTTGTTCAATAGATGGCTATCTTCAGGAATGACTAATTGGCTCTTAGCTGATAGCGACAAGCCCGAAGGACACAAGATTTGGAGATCTGGTCGTGTTATTATTGGATTGAATGGCCTAGTAGCAACGAGCTGATTGAAGCAACCCAAATACACAGCATTTGCGAAAGCATGCGAAAATATATTAATTGATGGACCTTGCAATGGACTTAATATTTGCTGAATCCTAATACCTTACCATAATCGCTTTAGATTTAAGAAGAGAGAAATCGGACAGCTTACATCGTCGTGCCCAAATAAGGGGTTCCAATCAAACATTGCACCCCTGCTTACAAACATAAAGGCGGCCACCAGCGTCGTTCGCGCTGATATGTCATCAAATGTACACATTAATATTTCTGTGAAAACTGTGGTGAGTGAACATGTGCTTTCGATTAAGAGCCTCGAGGAGTCAAAAGGAGGAAGAAGTAACTGTGAGGCACCCTTGGTCGAGGATTTACTAGGGAAAAATTTTTTTTAGATTGAAGTACTGTAAAATATACAGGCTTCATGTACTTTTTTTTGCAGATCTCGTAACGGTAGCTAGGTGCCAAGCAGGTTTTGAAAACTTATAGCTGTTTTATTGACAAGACAAAATATTTCACGTAGTTCAAGCCAATTGGGCAAATTTCCGCTTATGATTGTTTGAAACCGAATTTCGGTTTTAAACAAACAAGGTCTTGCTTTTATGCACTGTAAGATGTTTCGCACAGGTTTGAAAATGTAAAATAAAAACATTTTTAATAACTGCCGATCCTTGATTTGTACTGTATTTGGCTTGTAAGAACGTAGACTCAAAAATATAGTATATAGCTAAATTGCTTAGGTTCTAGTGGATGGAAATGTCGATCTTGGTCTAAAATTTAGTAAAAGAGTCTTATACAAAGGCCTAATAAAACGAGAACCATCAGCTTACATTGTTTGCCGCTCTAGAACCGCATCTGCCACTTAAAACGAGTTTCTTGTACATATTTTGTAATACCATCTTATAGATTAAATAGTAGTAATCGCATATATATATGCCGCGTTGTGGCTTTTAGTACTGAAGTTACCCGATGGGCTCTGTTTTGTAATTGTGATTTGATGAGCAATTGAGCGTCCACTCGATTTTTTTCTAGAGGTAACACGATTTTATGAGATAGAATAATAAATAGAAGGCATCTAGTCGTTAGCATTCATCTACGTCCGGCCAACAAAAAATACATCCTTTTCTATTGCTAAAACCGTTTATTTACTCGACCGTTGATTGCACCGAAATTTTTGAATTATATCGTCTGTTAACGGTCTGTCGTAAACCTGCTCTTCCATTGTTTATTTTCATTATTGTGGCTCTCTCAGAACCACTGACGTACACACACGCGCATTCAAGAACACGCGCGAACTCACCCGCACGAAGCAGCCGCGCTGTTATTCACATAGGCTTCTCCGCGCTAGCAGACGTCTGTAGCTGCAGTAGTCATAGCTAATACAGGCCGTTTTCTATGGTCCGTCGTTGCTGACTGCACAAAGGTACCAGCATCGGCAGTTCACAGACATACTTAGCTCTACGGCGCACTATCGACTACAGTTGAGCGTGAAACCGCTGTTTATCGCTCCTCTTTCACTTGAACCTTTTTAACCGTTTTCTGTTGCGACTCGTGTTTCTATTACTGGGCTTGTCTGCCAGAGAAGATTATCTCTGTGAACAAATTCAAACTGTGGCGCGGCGGCCTTTTAGGCGCTGCAGTCATCTAGTTCGGTAAGCATAACTGCTGATAGCCGATGCGTCAGCGCCACCTAGCGGAGCCAGGTGCGATCGTTGCAAGCGTATTCAGCCGCTACGACGGGCCGATGGGCAAACGAACCGCAGCTGAACCGGTCATCGCGGCGCTACCAGAAGCCGGCAAAGAACGACCGAATATAGAGCAGCCGCCGCGGACGCTGCGGTGCAGCTATAGGATCGTGGAGGAAAGCGCGTTGTGGTAGCAGGCGAACAGCCAAATGGCCGCCGGCACGCAGAGAAGTAGACACTCATCAGTAGCTTTTCGTGGTCGGCGGTAGATGATGTGCGTTGAAGAAGCCTCAAGTGAATAGAGTGCTTCCAGGGACAACAAACAAACCTCAGCGTATCGCTAGTGCATCCATCGGTGTAATTAGTAACCAGCGTCGATAGTAATCTGCTTCATCAGCAAGTATCCTGTTCTTGTGGCGGGGCTTGGAGGGAGGGAGAAAGAGTATCGTGTTTCGAGAAAAAACAGGACCTTAAGACACCGCAGGAATTGTACCGAAAACGAAAACAGTACTTACCACCCTCAGCACCACCGGCAGCATGATACCTATTAACAGACATACGTAACTATTGCGTAGTGGCTGTTTCCTTGGAGAGAGCTTTAATTGTTGCTTTGTGTATGTTCGTGCGTGACTTTGCACCAGCCGAACGAACTTCAGTTGATCGATTGCTGATTGGTAGTTCAGCGTATGTTCATGTAGTACAATTGGTCTTCATTCTACGTGCTGCCTACTTAGTTTTGTGGTGCGCCAAACGAACTGCCTGGTCGTGCCGTAGCTTCGGAGAGTTGCAGTCTTTATCCGAGGAGGTTTTTAGATGCCGCCGGCAACGAACGTGGCCAGCCTGCAGTGGTGCACGTTTTTGTGTCGAGTTGTTTCTATCGGAAGAAGAACGGTCTCAACAAGCGCCTGCTGTCGTGGTTACTAGTTAAAGTCGCGACAGATAGTATTGACTGCACAGTTTCCACGACACTCTCCGGTAAGTTGCTAATGTTCTTTCATCTCTATCTATGTGTTTATATCTAGATTGTTTATGGATATACGCTATGTTGTCGAGAACGACGCATACAATAATTAAGAACCTGCGTCTTTAATGTATAATTCTAACGATAAAATGTTGCGCTACATCTGGTTCCTAAGCTCGTAACATGCGGGTTGGAAGAGACCGCTCGCCGGTGCTCGGTGTCGAGCACTTTGTGATGCTGCTGTTGTGGCAGCTGCAACCGTGTGGAGGTGGTTCTGTAGTTCATGACGCCGGTTGCCGCCTTCTAATTAGGGTCCTCAGATCCGTAGTCCTAGTGTGCCTACAGTTTACTCATAATGCAAAGGAAGAATATGAATCAGGGATCGCCACTAAAAACACACAACAGCGTAAACCTCTCGTGACCAACTACCGACGACCGTTAATTTCGGTGGTAGCATTGAGCGTTCTATCTTCGGTCAGTGTTGTGGCGACGGCAGATTGTGGGAGAGCCTCGCTGCTGCTGCTTCTGGCAGCAACGGTGTGACAAAAGCTTCGAACAGTCCACTGGTCACGGTGTTTCGTCTAGCGACGGAGACAATAATCGATTAGTTGAGCGGTTAAGCATGTACTAGCGATCATACTTGAACCACATGGTTTATCGGTTATAAAGTGTAAAGAAACAGCTCGAGCTTCACTTTTCGACTTTTTGAGCTCTGCGCATTGTAGAAGGTGATGGACAGTCCCCGTTGTGTTGAAACGCAGCATCCGCCGATTCGTAACATTATTGGCCGCGGCTAACGAAAGTTAACCAAGCAAGTGCTGCGCGCATGTATACCCCTCTATTGGTATGCCTTCCATGAAAAGGAAATCGTTGTTCTTGGATCGCGCTTATGTTTTTACGCGTTTACCGATGATGTGTCTATTGTGGTAATATGGACGACATTCGATAACATCAGTGGACTAGAATGATAATTGGGCGCGAGGATTTTGTTGAATACGACGACAACGACGCCCAAGATGGTGCTGATCGTGATGACGATGGGTAGCCACGAAGCGATGACGAACACCAGCGACCTAGAACAGACTAACAGGAACGAGTTTCTGAAAGGAACGATGATAGATAGTGACGATGAATATTGTTGGTAAAATGTAACCGTGATTGCAAGTCAGATTTTTGCGGCAAAGCAAGTCAAAAAAAGAAAATAAAACAATCAAGTGAGACATGCAAAACCCCGGGTGTCTATTTTTATGACGCCGGAGCCATCTATTTTTTGCGTGTTCGTCCGTCTACATGTAATCGAACAAGACGTAAGAGACCTACAAGGGTCTTCTTGTCCCCTTCAGCACTATCGCCGTTACCCTCTTCATTCACTGGCTGTATTTTTGCTGGCTAGCATGTGCGTTCAATGGCTTGCTTCTGTGAATTGCGCTTTGTTCCCGAAGTTGTCCACGGTGATGGATGCTGGCTGGAGTCGTCCCGGTAGCCCTTCCAGCTGCTATTGCAGGTGATCTGCGCTATAATAAGGCTACATGCACTCACTCGCACGCTGCGAGTAAAAGCGTTTTTCTACTATTCGATTTGCGTTAATGTCTTTCTTAGTATCTTTTAAGATCTACTTTGGAGATTGTGGTGGGGCCGCCGATTTTTGGCGTTTCGCTTCTAACTGTATGCTGCGCGGTTCTCTCGTACTACGCTCGATATAAATATTTGTATACGACAACAGTGTGCATGTGTACTTGTGGTTGGATTGTTGAGAAGTTAGTCGGCGTACTGGCGCCACTGTTATCGATGCAACAACAACAACAACAACAGTTTGTTTCATGTGTGTGGCGCTTCGCAGTGTCCGCCGCTCGTGGCGGGCTCGTTATTCGCGGCCGGCCTGGTCTATGCGACGCGCTCAGCGTGTCATCGCACCGCGTGTTGTTCGTGGAGAGTTTCGAAGCGCCGCCCAACATTGCCAGTGTTGTGTATAGAAAGACAGAGCAAGTTGTTAGACTCACTCAGCAGTGTATTGTATCTAAACTGTTTGATGTTTATGGTTCTTACCACAGGCTTTCGCGCTTCCTGCATTTGGTCATAGAGCGATTCGGAGTCAGCAGCAGCCAGTCGAGAAGAAGTCGACACACAAACAAGCAAATGAGCAGACATACAAGGAACCAAACAACGAACCTCTTTGGCTTTTTCTCCCAGCCAGTTCGTTAGCCAACTAGCGTGTTGGTCGGCTCCTAAAGGTGCCCTTGTTTTGTCCGCTGGTTGAGAGCAATTATGTCAATGCGAGGTACGAGATTTTTGCCACGCAAGATTCGTATCACCATACTAGCAGTAGGCAGCTTTAGCAACTTCGGACTGGCAAAACACTGATAATTCTAAAAGAGACAGATATGATCATGCTAGGAAACACTAGCAATGAACTGGGAAATTCGTTTTAGCTTAGTAAACAGAGAGTTGTATTCAGACAAAATCTCAATTCGTCCCTTCGCTCCGGTTAGCTAACGTGTGCGTCGGTATTGATCATGATGAGTGTGTGCCAAATAGTGTGAAAGTGTAAATGGGAATCCTCGATTAAGTTTTTCGTTGGGAATAGACGTTTTATTGCTATCGGAGAGCATTAACACGTTCGCAAACAACGAAAGGTCTAATTTTGAAACTTGCAGAAAGTTTAATATACTAAGAAAGCACTACAACGGGCTTTTTGTACGTTAATAAATCTCAGTATCTGTGCTTTTCTCTCTTCGTTTTCTAAAGGACAGATTTGGTTCTGATTTGCAATAAAAACAACAGCATGATCCAATATTTACTTCCGTGTGCGGGTGATCTACTTGATGCGTTTCGTTCGCGAGAATTTCGAACTGTTTTGTGTCATTCGGAGCATCTACCAATCATTTGACGATAGCTATGCCGTACATTTTGCTTTTATTTCTGCTGATGTTTCAACTGCCTCAGGTGCAGTACCTTTACAGTGTGTCGTCAAATGTCAAAGGATATATGTACACAATAGTCGGTTTAACAAGAGGACGGCGGTATCTTGAATTGGTGTGATAGTTGCTTAGCTCTTGCATTAGATATCCATTGAGGCAGTACTTGTAGATGAAAAAAGAATGTTATATCGCTTTATGTGTGCACTAACAATAGTAACTATTGGGAATATAATTGCATTGTAAATTGGTGCTTCATTTGTACAACAGATCAATTCGGAGTCTCAGTAGGCTATTCAATTTAGGGAAAGGAGATTAAAGGTTGACTATTTGCGGGACCGCATTCATTTAGAGCAAAACTGAAAGGCAGTTTTGAGCAAAAGGTGTTAGGAAACAAGGACAGCGGCAACTTCAAAAACAGTCACATATTTTGCTTGTCTGAAAATTGAAGTGGGTCTTCAGAAACTCTAATTTTTAGCATTTGCGGCATTTCGTTATCGTCATCGATCTTGCATAAATCATACCATTTATATAGATTACATACTACTTGAATCCTCATACCGGTTAAGAGTTGGTTTTATAAAAAAAAATTATAAAAAAACATATTAAATTTGTAATAAATTTCATGATTGGACACCAAATTAAACTAGTTGATTTAATGCTGATGGACAAATTTTAAATTAATTAGAACAAATTTAAGAAAAATGCAATTAACATAAGTAATACGTAAGTGAAGTCCTAGTCCTATAAGATAGATTCAATATCATAATACTATAAGCTCAATAGCATGAGCTATATCAATATGTACAATAGTATTTATTTAGCTACATTCATGTACAGCTTTGTGTTTGGCCCTAATGAAACGGCTATAATCTTTGGAAAAGCGTTGGAATAGCGTTGGAACAAGCTCAGGTAGACTCACCATTCCATGGACTGAATCGAAGAATATCTTCGCAGTCAGTTGTAGGTTGGTATTCAGATCGGAGCCTATTCATATCGGGGGTGACACGTAGAGGTATTAATGGTCTCCAGTTAAAGTGCCGCTGCGTGCACTGACAGGGCCATTTATAGCTCCTTGGTAAAGATAAGGTGAGCAACCATATCATCGTCATAATTCGGGAAGTAGGTTTGTACTACTTACGTTATATAATTTTTATTATATATATATTATAAATTCTTATATTATATTAAAATATTGCGTTATATAAAATACATTTTTTAAATACATTTGCCGTCTGAATTTCGCTATCTTTTGCCGAAGTTTGGTGATGTGTCCGTCTTCAACTGTATCAAATTCCTAAATCTCGAACTAAAGATGCTCTCCTGCCAAGTGGTATCATGAAACGTTTAACTGTCCAGTACCAATCGTAGGGTATCCAGAGATGTACAGTGGCTTTCCGACGACGTCTGGCACCACTAATATCTACATACAATCGCTGACTTTTCGCTGATTCAATGTTTTGGTCTCTTCCAGAACCAATTTTTGCAACTGGCATTTACCTTTCCCATAGACGGTTTTGATATCATGTCAGAACGGTCAATTAAAAAACACTAGGATCTGGTAAATAGTTATAGTATGCATTGAAAATTATTGAATTGGCACACAAGACAAATAAATACTTAAATTATGGAAGTTGCCGTCGTAGCAGGCTCAAACAAGTTGTCTCTCCATCTTTATTTTTATTACAGCTGTTGTGCGAGATTTGTCAACTGTTGAATGTGGTGCAAGTAGAGCATGTTTGGATCAGTTCATTTCAGATTTCGAATTATGAGGGAACAGTAAGTTATTAAATACGCCGTCGTTACTTTTCGATACGTTGTGCAATTATTAGATAATAACAGCAAAGTCCATAGAACGATATTGGCAAGCATGCTAATGAACTAGGATTGGATATTGATTGAGGTTTATATTAGACTTCAAAAGGTCTGTGGTCAAGAAACTAAAAAAGTATTCGTCCTTATAAAATAAAATTTAGTCAGTGTGATAAGGAATAAGTACAAAATTAAATAGATGGCTACGATTTTTCTACTGATACGGCCGTACTGCTTTATGGAGACCCTTGTAATTAGAGTTATTCATGACTCTGATTACAGGGGCCTGCCCATTACTACCAGTCAAAATGCTGCCGTTACTATAGACGTGGCATTACATTCAGACCTGAAATAAAATACGTAGGCGCTGCATTTGTTATTGAGTCTCGAAAGAAAACAAGCTTGAATTGGGCACGTATATCATGAACAGCGCGATATATGTCTAAGTTATACGTGCTGTGGGTGTATTTGATACCGGCATTGGATTATCGAAATAGTTATAGAAGGCTGTTATTGGTCTCGTTTTTCCCAGGACGCTTTGCTTTTTGACATAAGTGCTTTTAGGCACCAGGAAACTTTTTGTTGAGCAAATACCGAAAGGTTTCTATTTGTTTTTTTGAGTGCGATTTTTATTTAACCATGGAAAGTTGACTTTTTGTAGATGCTTCTATAACAATCGAAGATTTCTCAGGATTATAGTAACAGCTAAAGGAAGGTACTATTTTGTTTAGGATTGGAGTACTATATTTAATTCATTCGAATTAGATTCAATTTTAAATAAAATAGTCATAACAGAGGCATCAGCCGCCGTTGCGGCTAGTTAGATACACGCAGTGAGGCGTCTAAAGCAAAAAGGAACACGTAGTCTAACAGATGACTCCATAAAATATACCCATTGATTTCTTCAAATAGTACCATTGTATTGAAACATAAGTTTGAATGTTTGGAGCGCATGTTGCTTAAACTCCATATTCTGAGCACGTTATTTTATTTTAAGAAATATTTGCTAAAAATACTCTGTTTCCTTTTTGAGTAAATTACAGATTGAATATTATACGCGAGGCGGAGACGGTCATTTTAAAGAGAAAAGAAGTTCTGAGGCTCGAGGCATGGAGACCTCAGGCTTTCGGGATTTGTAAATGTAGGAATATTGATCCTTTTTGACGTGTTGTGTTAATTAGCGAACTTGTTTACATTTACGCAAGCAGCGGAACATCTTGCACTATTGTGCCACGAGGACAGATAGTCTCCTGACGAAAATTCGTTCACATCAAAAAAGCCCATCATGCCTAACTGGCCTAGAGGGAGTCAAGGCGTTGCCCTGGTGGCCGGCACTGTGTGTATTCTTGCCATAGCCATTACATTTGCTGCATACATGAGGTCGCCACAGACGAAGACGACGATTAAAAGAAGGCGATCAGCGGCCAGCCTGTGTAATGGTGTCCGCTCGATATTCAACGAGGTTGTAGGAGATCCAGCACCGGCGCTGGCAGGACCAGAGAAACCTGAGCAGTCTGCGCAGCAGCAACAGGAGTCCCCACAGCTGCCGCCGCCTCAAGGAAAGGCAGTTGAAAATGAAGCAGACATTAAGCCGTCTGAACAAGAAGAGGATAACCTTAGCAATGCTGCGACGGCAGGCACCTCGGAGCGCTCATTAGACCTAGGTGAAGCAGGTGAGGGAAGCTAAAGTATCCATCAATCAGGTGACTAGGGATCGCATGTTCTCTAAAGAATCGTGTCTTCGTGTGATTACCTCGTTGTAAACATGGCTTATCTGGGGCGACGGTATAGCTACTGACCGCCTGCTAATATTAAGGGTTACAATGGTTAGAGTTACAATAGTTTTGCAAGAATGAGAATTAGAATAGTCGTCTGCGATAATGTGTATCGTTGAGGTGTTTGATTTGTTTGACACCGTAAGAGTCACCTTATTAGACCTTAGAAATTCATTTAATATGAGAAGTAGAAGTTAGTAACAATTACCTATCAGTAACAAGCGGTTGTAAGTGTAGAAAATGTCTCTCAAACTTAAGGTGTCACGATGCTATCGGTTATGTATTTTAAATTCAATGAAGGAACTACCGTTAATAATGTCTGAACGTGGGAATGTCTTTTTATACTTCCAGAAGCGGTCACTGACGATGCAGGCCGACTCGACTCAGGCATAGGGAGTCCGAAGGGGACCCCACAACTTGACAAGGGCAGACTTAGCCTTAACCGGTTCGAAGCCCTTAATCAGTCCACGCCAGCGCACAATCTCATTGAGGAGGTGAGCCTAAAAAATTATTGAATCAACTGTTGCAAATTGTGCAATATTCATACCAAGTGTCGATTGTGTCATATGATACTGGCATTATCTTAGCATTTAGCTTTAGCACACGAAGACGTGATCCTCTAGCTAAATGTAAATTATTTCTGTCATTCGATCTCGACGTATTTTTTCTTATCTTTCCCGGCATGTTATGATACATTTGCTTGCAGTCGTTGAGTGCTGTGTGCTACTCTCCTCTCAGCTCATCGGCCGTGAACTCTTCGTCGCTGCACGTTGAGGTGTCGACGATGTCACTTGCCGACACTGAGCCTTCCGGTAGTAGTGGTTTTGGACACGAAAGTGGTTCAACAATAAATAGCGGCGACAATTCCAGCCGACAAATACCATCCGGCGACATGGGTTCGCTCAAGAGTGAAACTGATACTCACATCATGAATAATTCTGTTGAAGTTCAAAGTCAATTGCTATCGTCGAGTTCGCTCGCAAGATCAGCTCAGAACTCTCCAGTGAAACAAGAGACGAAGTCATCTTTTAAAAAATCAAAGGACACCTGTCGAGAAATCGTCACTAATTCTGAAGAAGCACCTGTGAGGAACTCGACGCCAGCCAAGGAAGCAATTATGAAACCCAAAGACGCAAGGAGTCCAGTCAGGTATAGCAACAACTACGTTGCTAACAACAGCAGTAACAATAAAAGCAGCAATAATCAGAAACACAATAACAACAACATCTCTAATTACACTAGCAACAATAAAAGCCGGAGCCCTGAGCACCAATCGAAGCCAAAGGCTCACTACGAACCCGGCGAACAGACATTGGCCAACAAAGACGAAAGGCGAAAAGATAACTGTGAGTTACTTCCCAATGGTGGTAAGGCGCCAACTCCATCAACCAAACGGAAAGTTGTTAACGCTTTACAGAATCCGTCGGTGGCAAACACTACTCAGATGCGAAGATCGGCATCAAATTGGACTGACGATAGCGAGGACAGACACGACAGGACAGATGCCCAACGGCATAGTAGCGGGTCAGACGTTGCGGCGGATGACAAAAGCGAAGGCAGCGCCGACTCTGGTAAAGGTTGGTTCTATTCGAATTCTATTATAAATTCGTTTGCATGAAATCTCGAGAACTCATGAAATATTAATTGTCAAATGGAAAAGTACCCCAGTGAAAGTGAAATATATGGAGGTTCACATAATAAAAAAAGTTTATTCCTAGCAGGTCATTTAGCTATTGTAAAAAATTCGGTTCCAAGGCATCTTTTTGGCTCTATTCCACTGTTTGATCGCAGAACCCACATTTCGAAAAAAGTCGAAAAGCAGATCCCTTATCATCGGAGCGAAAGATACTTGGTTTTGTTTGACTTGGTCTTACTTGAAGTGGTAGTACTTAGAACAATAGATGTATTTATATAAACGTATCTGTTTACGTCGTAGATCTTATGTATTTACTAAGGAAACCTATTTCCATCTTACGTAGGATCCCCGCACTTAATTATTTCTTTACACAGTACAAAACTGGTAATATCTTATCAGATCATTATAATGACACGTTTTGACGTGGTTGCAGGGGGAAGCGACTGCCCAACTGCTGTCATTGTCCCACCCACCGTTTACGAATTCGAATTGGCAGCGGACTTATGCGGTCGTCTGATAGGTCGTCAGGGACAAATCGTGAAGTCGATCAAAACTCAAACGGGCGCCACGGTCACAGTTCGACAACACTCTTTCCACGACCACATAAAGACGGTGTACGTTGTTGGACAAGCTGATGATGTTACCAAGGCTCTTGGTGAGATTCGCAAACGGTTAGTAACAAAATGAAATGAACTTGTTAGCATTAGTGCATCTTTTGGCCAGGTAACACAGTAAAATCGCTAAGCCCGTTATCTTGGCAAATTTTTTGTAGAAAGAACTATTACAGTTATTTTCAAAAAAGATCGCGTATGCAAGAATTCAACTATATCAACTCGGAGTCACTATAATACTATGGTTTTATTTTCGCGAGTACTTTAATGTAATAATCACAGTGAAAGGGTCACCATTGAGCTGTGCAGTAGAAACCAATTTCCGATGGAGCGTAGCTGATACAAAAAGCTTTTTTGGTTTCAGATTCCCGGCTAAGCAATTTCCACAGGTTATGCTGGAGCCTCCGAAAACCCCAAGGCTACAAATGATGACCCTTCCACCCAACCCAGACATGGTTGAAGTCAGGGTGTGTTCAATAGATGCTGCCAACCGGGTATTTCTACAGCTCGCTAAGAATACCGACATTATTCAAGAAATTGATGCACAGATGGCTTTGCTGTACGGACCGGGATCAAGAATTAATGCGCCACCGTTGGGCCTGGAACCCCCTTGTCCGGGGTCCGTATGCGTCTCGATTCAAAACGGTGTTGCCTTCCGAGCGCTTCTCGTCGCAACAGAACCCATTACAGTGAAGTACGTTGATGCGGGTGGGTACGGCCCTGCTCAATTAGGAGAGCTTAAGCAGATTCGAAGCGATGTGTTGGGATATCCTTTCCAAGCAGTGGAGATGGTTCTGGCGAATATAGAACCTCAATCAGGGGTTATCTTTACTGCAGACGCCATGGCAGCGACACATCAATTCGTCATGAACGTGCAGCACGCCGGCGGTAGATTTTTCGCCCGTGTTATCAGTTATGAAGCCAACGTGACTTGCGGCGAGCTGATAGGGCAAATGCGTGATCAAAGCGTGGTCACTCTTGCAGAGCATCTCGTTCAAGAAGGCCACGCGCGCTGGGTGAAAGCGTGGGATCAGGTACTGTCGAACGAACCTGCCCCGCCAGGCACGGAACCACCCGTACCGACTTTTTCACCTGCTGATTTTCCCCAACTGAATGCAACAAATACGGGTTCGTGGTAGCACCACTGCGATGATTAGACGTGTGTAGACAAGACCAGTGAAGGAATGCAGCACTAGAGGCTGCTTCCTTAATGGCAGTAGCATCAATTTATTGTTCCATCAACACAACACAATCATAGAGGCTGCTGCCAGCTCTCAAAACATACAGATGCCTCATAGAAAAAACGGATGAAAGCGGAGATTGTGCACCTAATATGTACGGTATAGGCACCTACTAACAATAGAAACATTAGAAGTTTAAATTGAACTGAAAAAACATCGTAAGTAAAACCAGTTCAATGAAATTACCATATTATGTACTTAGTCTAAGTAGAGCCAGAAGCTTAATCTAAAACAAATCCAGACATTACACTCCCGCTGACATCACTTTCGCGCTCACCCTGTCGATTTTCTTTGGAAATACAAAAGCCCCGTTAGGGATGTGTACAGTTACGATGAGAATGTGTGAGATGATGGATAACATGCTAATGTTTCGTTCGTTTACCGTTATCTGTTTCTTCCATACACGATGTTATTACTATTATTGCATATAGAACTTTGCTACTATTACTATTAGTGAGGCTTACTGTGGTGAGATAATTATGATGCTAGTGAATGATGACAATATGTTGATGCCATAAACCATGGCCAATAATACGACCACGGCAGTCTACTGGGGTTAATGAAAGATATATGGAATTTCTATACTAAATCGTCGCTAGATATCAGTCGCAAGATGGCTTCTCAACGGGGAGAAAAATATGAGAGTTATGAATCAGTCAGATGAAACAGCCATAATTATTTCTTGCTGCGTTGTGTGTCTTATACCAGATATACATGGAAGAAAAATACTAAATGAAAACTATATTCGAAATTGTTATACGTTTTTTTATAGAGACTTTGGGAAATGCGTAAAAATGCGTAGTCGATCAGGAATAATGCGACCATCGTCATTGGGCTTGGTTATAGTTGCACGCCATTTAGCTGATACTATTTGAAATCATAAGAAAGAAAATTTTTAATAGCCTTTATCTATTTTGCCTTCTCAATTTTGGTTACTAGTTACTAGCAATGCCATCTCTCTGCACGTAGTCTGTATGCAAGAGATGCAGACGCTTCCTTTTGGATCTTTCGAAATTTGAAATTAGACCATGCAGCAGAAATTTTGAGTCCTATTTTGTATTCCTTATAATTGAAGCCGCAAACAGCCATACGTGAAAATAAATATGCAAAACGAGAGATATAAAAACAATTATATATATATTATATACATATATTAGCGATGTTACGAGCAACTATTTATCGAATATGATCACACTTGATACTACCTTGCAATCTCTGTGTAATCGTTTAAGTAAAATCTAGATATGTAATTGTTGCAAAAAACGTTAGCTTCCGATGAGCTATCTTCTTCGCTGTTAAATAAGGGGCTTATGAAACGCTGAAGAGCTCACGAAGTCTATAATCGAATTACCCTAAATTGTTGAGCTACATATATAACTATTACAAGTTCAGATAGTACTGTTACTGTACGACAAAGAAAACGAATTGAGCAAAGCACCTGCCAATAGAAAGGTGCACACCCCAGTAGAGGCCTGGTTGACTATGGAGCGCCACCATCATGTAAATGTAAAATATACGAAAAAAATAGTCATAGTGTGTGGTAAGCAAAGAAACACGCAAATTAAGGTAGAATGAATGACAACAGATGAGAGCACAAATGAAAATGAAAAAAAATTGCCTGTATTCTGTGTCAGAGTGTGTGTATGTTATGTTACGTTCGCTGTGATGTGTGCAGGAGGCAAATACTGTCATGTGATGACGCCTGTGTGCCTCGCCACGAGTTGCTACCTTGCTGGCCTTATATTCCTTGCCTATGATGATACTTACCATAGATGTTAAAAGAGTAGCAAAGGGCGAGTTCTCGAATCATTTGTTTATCCCTGACATTGAGACAGGCTTTTAGCAGCGACATTGTAGTGCTTCTTTTTGTAACAGTTATATGAAGAGAGACAATAAAAATACAGTATATATTATGTAGAAAACGAAACAAAAATAGTAGAAAATACCAAACACGAAAAGGCAACCGATTAAAAATACAATAAAGGTCATAATTAAGAAAAAATATTCGTCACTGCAAATGAGCAGTGCAAATATTGTTAAAGAGATACAAAACATCTGTAGTATGGCTACACACATGCTGTTGTTACTATAATAACAATAATTATACATAATAATAATGATAGTATTAAGTATATGAATAGTAGGAAATAAGAAAAAAAATGTGTCGAGGTCGCTTGTCATAGAGATCGTAGCGAAAATCTTTTTCGTAAAATTTCGTAGTTCAATTCCGGAATCTGCTACTAGTAGGAACGCACGATTTTTGCATGCTCGTATTGTTTTCGGGCTTTTCGCAAGTTTCTCATGAAGAATCGAAATGAGTCGTAACTAGAAGTAAAAAAATGGAGCAAAGCACAGCATACTTAAGAAAAACTGAAACAAAAATTGGCAAACATGAGAAATGACTGGCGGACCTGGCGGACAACAACTGAACAACCAATACATACTGAATCACAACTCCAAGTGAATTAACAATCTTTAAGGGGATGAAAGAGCTCAGTGGATGAAGCTTTTTTCTAATGGAACCAAAAAGCACGCATATACATTTTATCGATAAGAACAGTGAGTTCGTAGATCTCTTTGCAGACCGTCTTCGGGAGATATGTGATCGTGCGAGAAGTGGTGCCTTCATTTAGAAAATAAGGACACAGGCGCATGGAGGAAAATCTGTCCTTTCTTTTAATATTTATCTCAAGCACGTTGATTTGAAATAACCGCTAGTAGTAGGTTAAATAGTAAAGAATTTTAATAAATTACTTCTGATTTTTCAGCTGTGAAACGACATTGCAAAGTTTTTTTTTTATGTCTGAAAAGCTAGCATGTGCAAAATAAATCTTTTCTTTTATTCGGTGTTACCTAGATGTAAGCGATGTAGATGTAAGGGAGTAGCGAAATGCGCAGACAAACCTTTAACTGTGAAAAATAATAACTAATATATCTTCTACACAATCGTGTACCTTGCTCGAATTGAACAAATAGTTTAATTTCTTTGGTAATCTGTTTATATAACAATAAGTGCTTTATGTATTATTGCTAACTATAACACATGCTCGACCTAGGATAAATGAGTGATGCGTATCTTGGAAGATATCAAATGTCTTCAGCCGATGAAGGTTATTCAGTGGAAAGGGCTCCCATTAATAAGAACCCGGTAAAGTCAAAACAAGTTTTGTGGATTAGACCTTTCCTTTGTCGTTATAAAAGAAAGCAAAACTTCGCAGGTAGGGCAATCGCGGTTACCAAACAAAGCCGCGTTTCCAGAGAAATCGAATGATCCCCAAGTCTTGTGTTCAAACAGATGTGCAGAGAAATGCAGCAATATATGCGGCTTGAGCTTGCTGGTACATTATATCCTCATACTTCTTTCTGCATACCAACCATGCTTCTATTGTAGGAAACAGTACAGCTTCGTTTTTAATTGCTCGTCATTGCTCATATACAAACAGAAGCACCCCATAAACCCAACGATGTAAAAGGCCTAATACATTATCGTTAGCCTTTTTTGCGTCTATTTTTAACTGTTTGCTCACATAAAATAAGAGTTTTATATAACACTTAGTAATAACTATTATTACTATTATTATATATATTATAATTATTGGAAAGTCATATGAAGACTGCGCCAATAGCGATAGCTTAAATAAGAACAAAAAATGAACGCCGAACGAAAGCGATGAATAATTCTACTGACAATCCAAGACAGATATGAAAAATGATGAAAATAAATGTATGGAACATGATGACGATGCGTAATGGTTTGCTATCTCAGTACTTTGGGCGGCTGTGTTGTTTCTCCCAACGAGTGTTGCAAACATTTGTTATTGAAACTCTCACAAAAAAATCACTTGATATCAAGCCGAGATATTGTTTCATTGAATGTTCATCACAGGCTAGCCTAGTGCATGAAAACGGAGGACAAATATGTGAAATAAGTTAACAAAAAAAGAAAAAGCAAGATGCTACTCAATAGGAAACCCTAAAGATATACCAAAGAACAGACGATTACAAATAACCCTTACGAGCTTTGTGTAACCGTAAACAAGTTAGTAAAGCCAACCAAGTTAGTAAATAACTGTTGAAATACCCCGAATTATGGTAAAGGTTGTGCAAGAGTTTATGGATTAGGGACGAACGATTTTTCATGATTTCCATGATCGCTTGATTTTGACTCTACATCACACGCAGTTCGCTCTTCAGTCACATCTGCCTCAACTTGTATCGTCTAAAATTGTTAGCGTACATGATTGTACATGACTTTCGATTTTAACGTAATTCGGTGAAGTGCAGTTGAACTTCGCGAAAAGAAGAGCAAGCATATCATATTTTCTGCTCTTAATTTCTGTTGAGCCTGTGTTTGTATCTCTACAAGCATATAAAATTCCCGATTCTAAAAATGAATCGTGGTCTATGTAACAATACATATTCTTTGGATATCATAGTGAAGCGGCACAGGTCACAACGAAACTCGCAAGACTTGTATAGCAGCGTACCCGTCATAAAGCAATGGTTATGTTTTTGCCAATCAAAATTGCAAATCCATAATAAGATGGCCCGGCTTCGAAATAGAGTATAGACGAAGTACATTACGTGTTGAAAGGAGCCACCCGTTAGGGGCCATGTTTAACTAAAGCGGTGCGGTGTAAAATATGTTAAATCACGTAGCAGCAGCTTATAAAGCTTCTGAAATACTCAAGTGAACGTTGTGCCAGTCATATTAGTAACTAAACTGCAATAAACGGTGTAAACACATCAGCTAAATATACTAATATGACATAACAGCACATACGCTTTATTCAATACTGTAATATTGATCTATGGTGATTCAACAAAGTTTTACACATTCATTAGGTCCACACATGTCTGGTAACAACATGCAAGAGTCAACGTCGTGAAGTTTCATGTGTAGACTTTCTCATATTCCGACATGATTATTATTGACACAGTTGACGTTAAACAACACAACTTCTTGAACCGTTACTTTATAACAATTATAGTACTATTCAATGCTCTATTAATACTTCCGTTTTATTGATTGAGTATGTAATATTCAAGCATTTACATCGACAATTTGGCAGCATAATGAAGGGATGAATTGTGGGAGCAGTGGAATAGATCCTACAACATAGCGAAGTAAGAATATAGGTTATTACATGACATTAAGTTAACTCGGACAAGTGCTCGCGATGCACTGGATAGGTCAGCGTGAAAGACATGACGTCCATTTGTAAACAATTGACAATAGCAAAGTTTTACGGCATCCATTCCATCTATTCCATATATGTAGAATATCCGTGTGTGTGCGTGTCAGAAAACGATCTGAGAACTCGTTAAATCTGCCTAAGCAAGCTGTAAATCGTGATCATCGCCGATCCGGATGCTAGAAATGAGGTTGCGAGTTTTGTGACGCGATGCGAAACCGATTTTCATCTTGCTGCCTATACACATGCACACAAAAACCTATAGGTATAATTGCATTGTATGGTAGCTAGCAATCGGGAACAACCGAGATACACATAATTCCCGTATAATACGGATAATAGATATCGATTAAGATAAAAAAGGTTGTCATGTACGCGCCTTCAAGAAGAACATATGTGCAATTTTTTTGCACGATTCTGTGTTTTCTCTATATGTGATCCTTTATCCATATGTTCGTATTTCGTTCGACCGATTTGTTGCATTAATATCTGCGACTGTCTGCATATAAGTGTCGCTAGGTAGCGATAGAAGTAGAAGGAAGAGGAAAAATGCAAATTTAGGTTGCAGATTTCCTCGAATTATCATTATTACTATTATCATTAATAGAAAATCTAACTAAGAGGAGACAACGTTTGTATCTTTTGGGGATTAAATCATTAAAAATGTGATGAATGCTGCTGGCCAATCTGGATATCGATGTTATGATTGGTCGCACTAGGCAAGCAAAGATTATAGCTTTTTGGACTCTCCGTACCGCGGCATGCACGGTTGATCTATAAAGTGGACTTCCGTTCAATCTGAAATGAAAGCACGACGCGTCCAGCCGCCTTGTTTCATTTCAGGAAGATTACGGCAGAAGAAACGGCAAGTTTACACAACCGTTAATTTTGTGGAAAAATAAATTGACATGTACTGTTATCTGAGTTATTAGGTGTGTTTGGCCATTACTGTACAAAGAGTGCGAATCTTGAATTATTCTAGTTTTAATGTGAATGTTTTTGAGTTCATGGCAGCTAAGTTTCAAAAGTAGCTGTAGCATCATAAATTGACACGTTTTTTGGGAATGATGATAAACTGTTGAAAATGACTGGCTAACATTTTGATGTTTAGCACCTGCAACCTGCAATTCATCTAAATGGTATCTCCCTACAACCTTAACCGTGCGTATATTTGCTTTGGATGCAAATAACTTGTTTCAATAACGGACAGAGCTATCGTTCTGTTTGGAACAAGGATAATGTTTAACAATCGGTTTTCTTCAGCAGATTGCTTTATTCATATAAGTTCTTTCTAGTATGCTATTGATTCATAACTTTTTAGTTTCTTGTCTTCTCTAGTTTTTCTCTAAGTGTGAATGAATAGGTTTCAACGTGGAAAATAAGTGGAACTGATTCCAGCTTCATATACCGAATCGAAAGGCGTTCGAACCCCTGGGCAAGAACAGTTGCGACGAACGGCAAGTTTTTGCGCTGTATTAGTTTAGCTGCCTGGCAGTACGGTAAGGACTGGATGAGAACGAGACAGGTAAACATGTATAGGTAGCGAGGGGCCATTGCACTTCAACAAACTAGGGGAAGGGAAAAGGAATCTTGGAAGCTGTAGCGCCCTCTAACGACTACTTTGTATGATCTCCCTTTGAGGGTAACACGGCTGGATTGTTTAGCTCTCGTTTGCTCTGACCCTGCTCCCTATATCTAAATCTGGTAAAGCCACCTGCATAGGTCTTCGCGTGCTTCTGTGAGTCGATGAAAGCCGAAAATCGTTGTATACTCTAGCGGCTGCCGCCATCTGCTGACTGATAGAGTGTGAACAGCATGTTTTCAACTTCTTCAGCTTCACTCGAACTGAACAGATTTGAATCATTAGGAACGAACTGTTTATCCGTTACATGTGCTTTTTGCGGCGAATTTGCTCCTGATGGTGAATATCTATATCACAGACACGGACAGTGAGCGGTGGCTTCATATATAGGGGAAAAAGCGTAAGATGAAACCTATCTCGGAGTGGAATCCGTTAAACAAGGCTTGCGAAAAAAAGTCGTATTAGAACGACAGAAAGCTGTTCATAGTGGTATCGATACGAATCGCAAGTATGATGAAGTGCGTTTTCTCAGCGGATCCGTTGTAGGGAATAGTATAGCAACCATTGTTACGTTGACGTGGAAGAGCACGAATCGCCAGTAGAAGGGTCTGCTTCCACTTGATAGGCCGATAGTAGACGCCTAGACCGTTCGTGCTGTGCATGCGTCTGTGGAAGCCTGCGTTGGATAGGCTCAATGCACTCTATCCAAGGCTTGTAGCATTGCGCCGGCGACTCGGCCGGGCGTTTGATACGGTTGAGATTTAGAAGCAAGGGTGACCACACCAGTACCTATTATCGCTGTCTAACCGGCTATGGCTGACACTAAACGCGTAGTCGGTTTAGTACTGGCGCGAGGTGGCTCCAAGGGTATCCTCCACAAAAATCGGCGGATTCTGGCCGGTCGTCCAATGCTTAGTTGGGTTCTTCGACCAATGCAGCACTGCAAACTTATCGATGAAATTTGGGTATCAACTGATGATGACCAAACCGCGGAAATCGCTCGTGCAGAGGGGGCAAATGTATTCACACGTGGAGTTTGCTGTGCTACTGACGACGCCAGCAGCGTGTCAGCCGTTGATGAGTTCCTACGAGAAAAAAACACTAGCTTCGACGTAGTCGCCCTCGTTCAGTGCACGTCACCCTGTCTCCATCCCTGCTACCTTGACGAAGGTGTAAGAGAAATCCCAATGATTAAGCAGAATTAATTTAATGCGAGTTGAATCTTTTTTTTCGGTAATGCATAATGTGCAGAATAAAGTTATATCAAATGTGGATAGCCGAGCTTTATCAATGAAAATAAACTCTTAGATTAAACAGTAGAGAGTTTTACTTTTTCTTTGCTGTTAAGTTTTGAAACATTTCGTTATAATATAATGTAAATGGATTTCAGCATATACGTAAAGTTAATGTTGGTAACGACACGTTAAACTTATATATGATACTACACATGTGACTCCTAGCAGATGAGAAAATGTGAGTAACAATAAAAACTTTCGTCAACGATTTCGCTGTTATTAAGTGCAGCACTTATCTCCAACTTGCTCTGTTCTACAGATATTCCCTAAATTCTGTACAAAATCATAACTCTATAGATAAAAGAATAATATTTCTCGAACACTTACTAATTGAATGATACAAACCCTGAACGACTTTTAATTCAATAGCTATTGAACTGGTACTGAACGGGTCATATGATTCCGTATTTTCGGTTACGAGGGACTTCAAGTGGCGTTGGACTGAATTGGCGCCTGCCGATGGAACCAGCCGCCCATTAAACTTCGATCCTGCTCTCCGACTGTGTAGACAACATTGGTCTGGGGAGATCGTGGAATCCGGTTGGTATTTGTCAAAAAATGAGAAGGAATACAATTGCAACCAGTCGGTCTTGATATCGCGGCTTGCCTCCAAAAGCTGCCTGGAGCGACATGTTATTTTTTAGTAATGCAACTTTGCTTAATGCTGCTTCGTACCAAATTGTAAACCTATTTTTTTACTTCCAAATTTGATTTCTCTTTATGTGCTTACAAGCCGTTAATCCGTCCTTGCTGCAAACAGACTTACACGTTTTATACAGCATTTGTTTCTCTTTGCAAAACCCGCCCCTCCCCGTAAACAGAAAATTTTGCAATGTAACAACATGGAACATTATTATTACTACTTGTTACCCAGGTCATTTCTACGTAACTCGGAGTCGATTGGCCTGTGAGGGGCTTCTTCAAGGGGGACGGTGCGGATACGTAGAGATGCCCAGCCATCTTTGCGGAGAGGTTGACAGTGATGAGGACGTAACGCTTGCTGAACTTCGTTTAGCAAAGCACGGCTATCGTGGGCCACAGGCTTCAACAGATGTCGAACTTGTGCTTGATGCGCCAACGGAATTCCAGTAAGCTTGACTATTAAAAAATATTAGTATCAGGTGAGATATTGTGCTATGAAATATCACTGGTAAGATTGGAAAATATATCAGCCGGCAGGGGGACCTGTGTACTTGAACTTTCTACCTTATACAGCATAAGAAGTTTGACTACTTTCATCAAATACGTGTATAATAATCGAGACCAAATTTACATAAACTGATGCTCTAGCTCGGGATCTGCAGGTATAATACCAATTTTATTTTTTTCTATTATAGTTATCGTCACTGCACGTCGCGATAAATAGTTATAAATTGAAATTGCTCACTCCAAGCTAACTGCGGAAACCATTGCCAGTCGCCAATTAATTATCTTAATATATATGTTTAGTTAACAATATGCTGTAAGGAAGTGTTTCCCACCATAGAATCAGCTGAGAAACCTACTCGGAATACATGTGGTAATGATCATACCTATTAGTCTGTAAAGAGAAATGTATTATTACGTATAGAATTGTACGAGTGCCGTTATTAAGGACTCCAAGTTGCTCAACTTTGGTCTGTAGTAATATTAAGTATACCTGGTCATTAACTAACTTAAAAAACCAAAAAGAGTGTTCTGCAAATGACCTTTCCCAACAGAAAAAAATAATAGCATATAATTGAAGTACGAATAATAAAAAAAGCATATGTAAAATTCGTATGATAGCAAAGCATCTTCCTAAAGGTGAAATCTTAACACCTAATCTGAATGAAAAAACTGTTTAAGGTAAATGAATATCGGTTCTGTTAGAGTAATAAAAAGGAATCCCATCATGCTTGAATCACTGGGATCATGAATTAGGCCGCAAAGTGTAAAAAGACGTACAGGAAAAATACGCAGAACCTCCTATATATATTATAGCATTCTTGTACATCAAAAGCGTATTATTATTATGAAACTGTCATGCATTGCCTTTCGTCGCTCATCACTCAGTCACATCTGTTATAGTTAAGCGGTACCACTGCGTACTTTAAACAATAAGATCCTCTGAACCTTGTATAGGTTGGTCTGAATAAATAACAGTCATGACACGGCCATCAGGTAACTATTATTATACTGTTATACAGGAACATTGAAAAAAGGTACGGTGCAAAAAGGATGCCAGACCATTTAATTCAACTGGAGAGCTAACAAATTACTTTCTGCAGGATTTCTTTTTGCGTTTGTCCTTCGTTTAATTCATTTGAATAATTCGTTTACCTGCGTCAAAAACGACCCACCTTGAATAACTCCCTAGTTACCTACCCACTCAAGCTCATGTGCCATATTTGAAGGCGACGACGTTACTACTTCACTGCACCCGCCAAAGTATGAAGCCGGAGGTAGTTGCTTCATATTTTGTACTGTTAGACAGGATGTAAATAACTGCAATTAGCATTGAAACGCTTAATAAAAATTTAATTTATTGTGTTCGTGAAAACGGTATATCCATTCGTCCTAATCTACCTATTTTATAATATCACCTGTATCTGCTGCAAAATTGGTACACTATTCTTTCCTGATGCAGGCAAAAGGTAGTCAACTTCTTTCAGTTCTACACAAGCTGCAATATGATATACTGCACCAGAACGTAGCATAGAATTATATTTAATGCGTAGAAGATATCATCTTCCTTATCGTCTATGTAGCTCCCTATAAATAAACTCAGAGATGCATACTTAGATATCGTTTACTTCATGAATGGGTCAGACAGCATAGCTAACGAGTAAAAAACTTTTGGAAAAGAAACTCGTTAGATTTAAGTGACTAATTACGTATGTATTTGGTGTTGATGACATCATCTTGTACGCATTACGTTATGTGCGGCATCGATGGATTCATAAAATCGAGAGAAATATAAGAGTATATGAATAGATCTATATTTTTTATGCTAAGGTGCATAAGAACATAAGAAGCTGCAGTTGACTTTTCTGCATCAAAGAACAATCACTTCTGAAGTTTAGATGAATACTGTCTATTGTATTGTTGTAGTTGTTTGAAACGCACTGCACTGATATAGGCTTAGATGTTTGTCTAAAAAGAATAGAACTTACTTTCACCTTCACAGTAAAAAAAACACACACTATTTTACATAATAAAACATTCGCTTTGTTTATCGAAACCTACCACTTTTTTCAAATTAATTCACCAGATTTATTTTACCTTATTACGCTGTAGTATAATTCGATACGCATTATATTAAAATATTTCGGAATGTCGTAAGTCTTTTTTCCTGGTTAGAGCAAGAAGTACAGCTTTAACCTCATATGTTACAAGTTAGGAGATTCAGGCTAACTAAGCCCTTAATTAAGGATAAACGATTTTCTTTGTACCATAATTATATCCAGTATACCGACAAAGCTAACAGAGAAACCAACCTGATTTTTAATCGAAGACTGATTGGAAAGGAATAGCAGGGCAGTAAGCGTCAATAACGGTAGCAAAACACTACATCAGAAAAAAGGAAAACCATTAAGCGAAATTTGATGATTAGCGATAGAATATTATGTCTGTAAAAGTAGACTGGAACCCTATGAAGCGGTATGAGAATTAAAATTGACAGAGTTGAGTTAGGAAACAAAAGACTAACGGTGGCTATCAAAGGGACGCGTTGAGCGGACCATATCGCTGATTAGTAATTGTTGTAGAATTACACAATGACGCCTCCTTCAATAAAACCTGGATGGACAGCGGCAACTGATGACGCGGTCGAAGGTATGCAATCTGCTGCACCAACGCTTAGCCGCCATTATCGGAAATTAATGTTTCGGAATGAATCGGAAATGAGAACTATGTTTAAACGCTCAGCGTGTGCAGATTTGTTTGCTTGTGCTGACTTACTTCATCATTTTTGTGTGCATGTAAGCGTTAGATAATATAAAGTCCTACTGTCTGTATAGAATTAGTATGTAATACATTATATGTTTATGTGGATGACCAATGCGGAGTTAAGTATTATAAGACACAGATGTGTGATTGCAGCTACTAGCAGCTAAACAGGTCTACCCAATGAAAGTGGAAACGACAAAATATTAGGGTTAGCAAGACGTCTATAAATGTTTAGTTAGAATCCATATTGACCGCGATAAGCAAGGCTCATAAAAGCAACAAACTACGGAGGTAGTGGGTATAAATTGCGCTCAAATAAAACACGAAATCAGATAAAAATACAAGCGGTATGTGTTATTACTTAAGGTTAGGTTAGGTTCAAAACGATGGCTTAGACTGCTACGTTACGGGTCATGAAAGACCTAGCAGATTCAGACTCAAGTCCGTAAAATACTTTATAATCTTACCGAAAACGTATTGACTCTAAACTAAGCTAGGTATTGCGGTAACTGATTCAAGTTCATCCTTCAGTGAAACGCAATTCGCAGGCTTACGCTGGAACTAAAATCTGTAAAGCCCCATTTTGATGATGAAAACCTCCTTCCAAATAGACCACTCGTCTATTCTAGGTAATATATTCTGCTATAGAAAGAAATTAAGCTGAAATAAGCACGATATTCGACGTTTATGTTGTTTACGTCCGTATCAAGTACAACGCTCAGAGAAATTATCGAATAAGAACTGCTTCTCGAGGAACGTACATCTAGCATTTTGCATTTTGTGTTCATTTTTCAATCCTTAAATGAACCATTTAGTTCGAATCGTTCCCAAAATTTACTCTAAGTTCGAGCTTCAAAGAGATTTTTCTGGCAACGAAGGACATAATTTTTAATACTTCTCGCCCATATTTCTCTGCCACTAGAAAGCTTCCGGAACAACCTAATATAGATGCAGCATATACTTAAGATAGAATTATATAATTGAGAGTGCTACTCAGCAGTGGCTTGCTAAATTAAAAAATTAGATTTTCGGCTCAAAGAATACACCTCACTCCAATGTTCGAGTTCAGTCATGATCGCTTTGAGCCATCTTTTTAAAGAAGAATAAATGGATCGGTTTATACCTCTTAGCTCTAAGCCTTTACAATACACAGAATATATTTATTGTGTTGCCTTTTTGACACCGGAACAGAATTAAAATCATAAAATTTGCTCTTTTCCGCCCCATGCACACATTTCAGATCAGGTTGCGTAATGTGAACCAAGACAGTTTTGCACTTTTCCGATAGTAAATAAAACCTGTTTTTTTAGCATAAGATAAATAGGAAAAGGGAAACAATAAACTAAAGCGGTCATTACCTTCTCATGTACTTTCAAATCTAACACATACATTGCTGAAGACAAGCGACTACATATTGTCTACGCGTCAACCATAAATCTCACTATTCCTTTCCGTGTATTTGGCGTCGATTAACAAGGAAGCCATGATGCGACAGAAACATATTCCCTTTTATTAAGTAATAGAAGAAAAAAAATAACAATCCTCAGCACTGAATTCCTATTATACTGCTATTTTATACTTTACCGTTTAGCAATAACTTTAGAGAAAAAAATCTGCTCTTTTTTAATCTAATGGTAAATTAAATTCAGTTTACATAGCGTTAGGCCTAGCATAGGCACCAGCCGAATGGAACTTAGGCAGCGCTTTGGCGGCTCTTGTGCACCTTTCATTCTCATTCCGTCTGTTGCTCATAGATGCTTCTTCGGTGCGTCTTTTTTACTATAATTGTGTCCTAAAATTATTCATTGTGATTCCGCATATTCAATATAAAGCGCAGCAGATCTATTATGTTATAAGAATATCGCACTTCTACATCAGCAGTTTGCTCAGCATTGATATTTGTGTAGATACACGCGCATACATCACAGTGAATGGCAACGTAAAATAAGCAATACAACAATTTTTTTTTTTATTTAACTGTACGGCAGCTTGCTATTGCATTAGTCTCCTAACTTAAACTAGCCGAACTTTTCATCATACGATACTTCGGTTTGAAGTTTGATTATCATAAGGCACAACCGATGATGACTGAATTTATTCCTCTTGCCTACATGTTTAGAAATGAAGTATTTCTTTATCACATGCATGTATAAAATATAATTGAAAGCGGGAAAGCCTACAAAATTTGACAAGCTTTAAGTTGTAAGCTGTGATTTCATCTAGTTTACAATTTGCAACTCTAGCGCGGTCACACAATGTAATCACACGTAGCCTCGCAGTGAATTCGTTTATCTTTATTCCTTTTTTCATTTTTGTTGACAACAAAAAAGTATATATATTTCTTCTTTTTCTTTTATGTATATAGTTCCGATATACTATGCTCCTGCCTGATGTTCTTTATAGCACTTGTTCTTTTTGTTCGCTTATGTATACCACTGCTATTTTAACCTACAAGCCAGTAATTTAAAGCGACTACCCTTGGCACAATAAAACACCTTACTTGCAATAACATTAACACGCTTTGTTCAAACTCTCTTCGTAGAAATTCGTTTGAAAATTTCGACACTTTTGCCTGCGAGACATCATGCGGGATCTATGGCTAACTCGGGTGCAAAAAACACGTGTGACGCAGAGATATAAGCTCATACAGGAAAAAGACAAAATTGGTTGAGGCAGACAGCATTTACACAGGTGCCAAAATAGGTGACAATTTTTTTAGGACTGAAGAAATACAAATCTCTATTGGAGGAATAATACGGTGAATGTGCGCTGAAAATATTTTAACCTGGGTTACTTCATGCCTGGTACACATTGCTTAATTATATTACTTATTATAGCGACAATTACATGAGTACAGTTCATTAGTTTTCGGTAATTTATTACTTTTTTAGTGTAAAATTACGTTTTGTGTCTCTTCCTATTCATTGGAAGTGCTAGCTTTGCGCGAACTTTGGCTGTTGCTACGTTCGTACGACATATCAACTATTCTCGAGCATGCGTGCTACGCATGTATAAATAAAATATAGAAGAAAAAACCAGATCAGGTTTCTTGTTCATCTGCTCTAGCTTGCCTTCATCAGTAAGCGATGCGTCTGGTGATATTGGCGATATACCAACAGAATATGTCCATAGACCGCGGTAATCGGTACGCAGTACACTATTTATAAAAAGCCAAATAATACGGCTATAATAGATATCCGTCCATCATGTTTTCTGGCAGGATATTAAAGCGTTATGTAAAATAACGACAGCGGCCGAACTCACTTAGTAGAGAGCACTTGGGTAACACTCCAAACTATTATATGGGGCGAGCCGACTCCAAAGAGAATTGGTCCGCTTGCAATAAAACAAAAGTACAATAAAATTTTTTTCAAAAAATCGTAATTTAAGATGGTAGTAGCCTATCATCTCTCTCGACAAAAATCGCATTAGCGATTTCATATACACACATACACATTGTTTCTTTCATCTCGAAAACTACTGATTCTGAGCATCCACAGTCATTTGTTTTTCTTGGTCCGTAATCGATTTCATAGCTAGCACTCACTGCTACCCGCTGGCAACACCTTGTATTTGACTATGTGACACCAGCGAAATTTACCACTAAGCTTAGTTTATTAAGTTTAGTTGATAGTATTAATAACGGAACTACGCAAACAATAATAGCAACATCAACGATTATCTAACATCCAGCAAGAACGTTGCCTCGAAATTGCATACGAAACTTGGTTGGCTAGCCACACGCCGCTATGGTTTCATTGTTTAGCAACATTTATTTGACGAAGGTGGAACTTCCTCTTCTGATTCAACCTGTAGCCGACGATTTCTGGCATTAGCTTGAGAAGTGCGACGATCCTGCAGTTTAGCGTTTTTCTCGAGCATCTTGCTACATAAGTAGAGGAACATCTCATTGATGCCTATAAGAAAAATGAAGATGAACACAGTCTCTCATTTTATAGTTCTTTATGGAGTAAATTTTCATATTTTCTTATACTGTTTGTGTTAGTGACGAGAATTTACGAGTATAAAATTCAATCGAGTGCCATTTCACGCAAGCCTACGATCGTTCTTTATTTCAAAGTTTATTGTTGTAACTTTTCTTCGTGTAGAAACATATTAAAAGCTGATTTTATCAACTCATAAAAAAAAACTAAGAAAAAAATCAGTGTCTGAAATTTGGGTGTCACCTCTGTTAAGCTTAGCTGAAGTTTGAAAATGAGCGGCCCCCACTGATTTAGCATATCGCTCAGCTTCTGCTAACGGTACAGCTCTTGACCCTTCTAAGTCACTTTTATTGCCTACGAGTACCAGGACAACCTGAAAAGTTGCAGAAATCGTTATATTACTACCTTACAGTTCTTTTTCGATGACAAAAAGGGGTCATTTAGTTTCCTTAATGGAGCTATATTGAACAACTAATTAGAACTGCCGAGTTCACAAACCTCATCCCCTAGCATCCTGTTGAGCTCCATTACCCAATTCTTCACCTTTCGAAACGAGTCCTCGTCCGTTAGATCATAAACTAAAAGCGCTCCATTTGAATCTCTGTAACGCAAAAGACAAATGTGTGATGGCATACCTATAAGAAGTAAGAAGCTAACAAACGCTTTACTTGAATGAATTGTCGTTAAATGGAAAATGGTGGGTTAATGTATGAAGCAACTGACAATGGTTTAGCAAGTACGTCACTCATGGCCCCCCTTTATATATACTAGATAATTCAGGAATAATATAAGTTATCAATTTTCAGTCACTTACCAAGTAGCATTTGATAATTTATTTGACATAATACAATGTAATTAAAGATTTTTTTTCTGAGAAGTGTTTATTTAATTTCCCGAAAAACAATTAAGTATTAATCTAACAGGAGTTGTCTTCGACCAGTTACACTTGACCTACCGTCCTATTCTTCAACCATACATACCTATAATATATTGGTCCCAGAGCATGGAAAATTTCCTGTCCGGCCGTGTCCCAGATGTTTAATGTAACCACTTTCATCCCAATGGCCACCGTTTTTGTCAAATACGAAGCCTACGATAAAAAATAATACCAAGTAAGTATTAAACTTCCATAGTAAACTTAAAAAATCAGGCAAGCAAAAAAGAATAGTCCTGGTGATTGCTGGGGCAGAAATTTTCAAACGTACTCTAGTATTGATATCGTACTTAGCTGCCTCAAAACGTTTAATGCATTGCATTGCGTTATACTGTTGATGGTTGAATCACAAACAACGTAATTTTAGCCTAAGACAAAAATATTGTCATAAGATCGAATAAGCTGGATCAACGCTAAAGGGTGTAAATCGATAATGACCCCTACATAGGATTATCTAGGGGCATTACAGATGCCCCAATGAATGAAATGCAATTTTTACGTGATGTGAAGAGGCTCCACAATTATGTTTCGCTATAGGGATATCATATTTTGAAGTAACTTTTGTGACCACACCATCCAATACCATAGCAGTTTCAAGCATAAGAAATTTCTGATTGGTGGTATGTTCTTTTGTGTTAACGATGCTACAGCTCCCACTAGATTTCTAATCATTCCTTACCTGAACAGTCGAAAAATGCTGATCGTTAAATCGATCCTGAACATAACGGAGTATCATTGATGTTTTGCCCACACAGCCTTCTCCCAACAGAACCACCTGATTAGGGCAAAACCAAACAATGAATTCAATGTTCAGAACTTTTGGATATAAGGTGATGATTTTTGCTCCAAGCTACGACATAATATGCGAACCATTACGTGTTTTTTTTTCAGGTACCACTTCGGCTCGGTGATGCCTACCTTAAAATTAAACGCGCTCGTCATGACGATCAGGTGACCCTCTTCCTCCGAATACACCTCAGCTATTACAATCGCTTGGTTTCGTCTCTTCTCAATACCTGTAAACAGTGAGAGAAATTTTGTAGAAGATAAAATTCAAGTACTTTATAGTATAGAAATGAGCAGATTCTTGGTTAAAATGTAATTGAATAATATACATCAGTTCGTCCCGACAATGCTTCTTGGAATATATAAAATGCAATAGTGGTCAAAATTACCAAGTTAAGCGCGAAACACGCCCGTCGACCTCCTAAGAGTCATCAGGTCACACAAATTTTCATCTGAAACGTGCTTGCCAAACCCTTTACGGATAGTTCGACCGATTCAACAGATTAACCACGTTTGAATCTGTTAACTTTTCTCTATAGATAGAAGAAATTCATGAAAGAGATAAAGAAAAAAACTAAAGGAGAAACTTTTTTGCATAGTAGACACTGGGATAAACGAAAAAGCTACTGATTAAGTTATCCACAACATAGGTTTTAAACATATTTACTTTTATATGCTCAACAGACTCCGGTAATGGGTTCTACCGGGTAATTGCGGTTGATTAATTCGAATGTCACTGTTGCTGCTGTGGCTGTAAAGGACAGATCTGTGTCAATTATTGTTAATCTGCGTCTGTATGATACTCTATCATTGTTCACGTTCGTATGCGAGTCATTTTCGAAACGCTATGTAAACGATATAATAGCAGTCTTCTTCAGAAGTTTTTTAGCACTGGAACATTCATTTACCATTTCTTAAAGCATCTTGGGTAGTCAGACTGTGTTATCATTCCACTATCCGCAATAATCTAATAAGGTAATTCACGGCCTCAAACAGCTGTCCTTGAACGAAACAAATCTACATGGCAACCAGAGGCCACATGCAGTTAGAACAATGGGATCATTGTTTCTGATATGAAACAGTGGAACGTTTGACCGGTTAATAACTCTCAAACTATCAAATCAATCATTTTTGCAAGATACTTATTTTGCACAAATGCCAGCGCCATTTCTCAACTGGTTATCATATAATCCAGGTATTCAAAAACTGTAACAAAAATAAAATTACAAAAATTTAAAAAACAAAAAAAAAGCTCAGTAACTACAAACTAATCGCAGATAACTCGATGAATTGCTTCTTAAAGAACGCACAGTTTATAGGTATATAATGATAAACTACTGTGCGATTGCTTGTCGAACTTAATCTAACCACCCGAGCGCAAAGAGAGAATATTGACTTCTTATGTCAATATCCACTCTTTGAAGCGGAACGTCAAGTGGCAATTCACCAAATTTCATATCGACTGAAACACTGTATAATAACAACTATAGATGTGATTGCAATGAATGTCAACTAATCCGATTTAATTTGGTGATAACAGTCAATTTCATATCACTTCAGTGTTGGCAAGTTTGCCAAGCTTGTACTTGTCGTGTCGGGTACTAGTAAGACAACCTGCAACCTGGTAGACCCTAATAATTCTGTTATCTAACTGCGTAAACAATGCAGGGTATCGAGCTCCTGTATGAACCGTCTTTATATCAAGCGTGAATTGTGATTGTATGGTCTATTCAAAGAAAACAAACGCTTCTAACGGTCGGAAGTCTAATTTTTTAAAAATGACGTCAATCTATTAAACTCCGAAATGATATAACCGGAGTAGAATTGAAAGTCATTTACGTTTATTCTTCACATGCATAATTGACAACAACACGAAATGCCGAGCATTTCCAAAATGTTGACAAGCACAAAATAATTTTTTGGTCTCTTGGCTACATTTCATCTTCATATTATAAATCGATATAAGAGTAGATATTGGCTATGCGATATGTAAATATGTTGCTACAAGGAACTACATAGTACGATATAAACCAAATAGTTCTAGTTAACATAGCCATGTTTTCAATTTGCAAAGCCTGTCGACCTGTTTTAACCACTATGTGTAGATTATTTCAAAGAAAATTGTTATGGTGTTCTTGATCTTTAGTTAAATTCTATGATACGAAGTGTCTACGAATCTATCTAAGATTGGACTTACACCGGGCTTGCATTAGTAATGGCCCTAAATTACAGCAGACAGGCTATTGTTGGGAATATCCAAGCTCAGTATAACCTTGGGCTTCGCGTTACAGAGCTTTGTGCACCAAAAAAGGCTCACCTTGTGGTAAAAGGTGGCTGTAAGACGTTCCTACATAACGTGCACCTTTCGTATACGAAGAACCCACACCCTTACTTGAACACAATTGAAACGGTTTGGCTATGACAGCGATTTCAACGATCACACCATTGCGTACTGTAACGCAGAAGTGGCAAAACAATGTAAGTCGAGTATTCATTATATTTTCCTAGATGTCATTGCTACGTATGCGCCTGCACAACTACACTAATCCTTTTCATCACCATTATTTTAATTATTTAAATCTAAATACTTGAATGAAATCATTATTGGCTCATCGAAGAAACTTTTAAAAAGAAAAGTTATCTTTATAAAGGTTTCCCTTGATAACGATAACATTTATAACTTTTAAATAATATTTTAATTTCATCGCCAAACAACAACTATGCGCAATTCGAAAATGCCTATCGTTTCTATGCTATCAATTCAGATTAGCATAATAAAAAATATCATCTGATATCTATAAGCGCTTGTTGTATAGCGTCTATAATTTTATTACAGTCATTTAAAAGAGCCAGTTATACTGTGTATAATTCATGGATAAACCGATTTCGATATTTGCTGAAAACGGCAACAGCCATGACTCGGGCAGGGTTTTATAAAACAAAGAATACGTTGCATGTTCCAGTTCATTTCAAGAGTGGTTATAATTATTAGAAGATCAGCGACCACTCTGTTGTTGTATGCGACTGTTTACAAGACTGCAGCTTTTCAGTTTAGATACATGTGCACGTCAGAGAAGTGGACCTAAAGGACCTGTTGGGGCAATAACAAGCAGAAATAGAGAAACTGTCCGTACGTAAATAGCATCAACAATAATATAAATAAACAAAAAAGGCAACAATAAGCTTAATTAAGTCAACTATTTTATTCTCCGCATCTGCTGCATCTACTGATGGACAGACTTTGCGTACTTCTAGTTCTTTATTGGTCACAGGCGCGATACCGTAGCAAAACACTTACCTTCAGCTGTGTGGTATACCAGTGTTGAATAACTTCCCTATTATTTGGTTTAACTGCGACCTGTTGCGGCCTTAGCAAGCGGCCAATCAGTACGCTCAAGTTGGTAATTCGCGCAGCTTCCAGTTGTATCTGACTAAATAACTTGTTTTATTAGGCACTGCTTGTTTCAGCATGACATTAGTTCACAAATTGGCTATTCCGTGCATTAACAATGTGTCGATAGCATCGTAGACACGGGATAGCAGCTACAACAACAACTGCAATGCAACAGGCACTACCGTGCGACATTCTGTCTGTTGTTGACATTCTGTTGGCGGAGCGATATTACCAACACATCGGTAGCGGAGAGGGAGGCAATTACATCAAAATACGCCACGAGATGCGAACAAACATGATTTTGGCGGTATGTTTTTGAATTGCTCTCTGCTGTCAACTGTGTTCGTCGCGGTCCTATGACAGTGTTCAGTCTCGATAAAAATCATGCCAGGCTTTTTTAAGTATAACCAAACAATTATAAAGTAGCGTTCCCAAACGTTCAGAATTCAGAACGTGTTGCGAATTAACAGACACAACGAGAGAATGGCTTAGATAAAGTGAGATTACTTTTTTTAATAAATAGCACTATTTTATTGTTGCTTAAGCACTAGCAGAGCCCTTGTGTTGGTTTTTATTATTCCTTTTGAAAAGGTAAGCTTGCTCTTTATCACACAAGCTAGCACGTATCAAATATTGTCATGGGCAAAGAACGTATTTATAAGCGCTTCCTCTGAGGAGCGAGAAACTCGTCTTAAAACAAAATGAACGCATTGATGAGGATGTCTGTTAACGGCGCAAAAATTCAAAATGAAATTTGCAAGTCAGTGGGACAAAAAAAGGTAACATCATTTGTCGCTCTGATACGGCTTAACTTGTAATCGATATTTTTAAGAAGTAGAATTACCAAGTCAATAAAAATAAGGATACCAAGCGACATTTAACAAGCAATCGCATGCGATAGAGTCAGAGTCTCCCTCAGCTTTATATGCGTTATTTATTATAATGTTCGGCCAATCCATTTACCCACACTGATAATAGCAGCTACCCATAATGACCGACTACAGGCACGTATTCATTATTATGTTTTTAGCGCGTAAAGATTTTCACTGTTCTGAAAATGCGGATTGCTAAACCTGTTATCGCCGTGCCGCTATCAACCTACAACAGCAATCAGGTTCCGTGGTTCGAACTAAAACGATTCAAGCTGCTTTGTTATTGTTTCGGCTGGCGCGATTCGTCTTGTTACGACTGCATGGCAGGACATTAGAGAGCGCGGTACGACCGCGTCTTCTCCTACCTGCCGAAATATTCTCGTCGTCGTTGTTATCGTCGTCTTCTGTCCCGAAGTAATTTACCGTTCGTTATTCGTTTTTCGATGTCGTCGTATCATCGCTAGTGACGGCGCCAGCGATAGTCGCTTAACAATTTTGGATCTTCGCGCCGCGAGTGGTACCCTGCCTACTGACGACTGCTTCTGGTGTTGGTATCGCCGTTGAGCAGCAGCATTCTCAAGTCGTGGACTAAACCACAGCAGTAAAAGTGCCCGCAGTGCTGAGCGAGCATTTAATCTCTGTGTCTGTCTGTCCGTGCTGTAAGGTTGACTGTATTGATCGACACCGGCGGTGGGCCCGTTTCATTGGTCGGTTTGTGTTTTCGGCGGTGTTTTTTCTCATTTGCCACCACCGTACGCAGTGTTCACGCTGCCGAGTGGTTTGCTTAGCAGCAGAAACGTTGAAAGTTGCGTACGTCGTTTTTTTTTTCGTTATATCGCGATCGTCACAACGCACAGGTGGTAGGACCTAGATTCCGTGTTAATGGTAAACGAATGAACGACGCGCAGAGCCGTCGCTAGCCGCCAGTCAGCGGTTAATGCCGAATTCAGAGGGAGGCAGCAATCGTGGAGGCGCTGCATTGCCCGCGCTGTTGCCGCCGGCATGAAAAACTATTTGCTCACTGGTCGTCGACGCAAACCATTGGGACGACGATCGGAAGTGGAAACTGACGGCAAATAGAATCGATTTAGCATATAGAGTCTACAGTGGTGAATGTAGTCGTGTAGAGTGGCGAAGACGTACAAAAAAGGATGTTTGTTGTATAGGTAACAAGAGTTGATGTAGTGCGTCAGTATATGAACAACTAAACCGGTACATCTGGTAATCATAATTCTGCGGCTGGGAGCTGGGCTTAACAACAAATCCATCAGCAACAACTATTATATATCTATTTATTACTAGCACTGCTCCCACAAACTACCCCTCGAAGGGTCGTCCTTTTCGTTATATTCGATTTCTGAGTGATTGACGCCTGCAGGACGACACAGCAAAGCACAAGATTACATTTGCAGCTGGGTATCAATTTTGTATCATCCCATATTTGTCGCTGAAGCATTATCAGCGACGGCAACCGCAGCATAAGCACGGAGCCATCATTCAGTTACCAACGATGGACGCTGAGATCGAACAAATTGAGAGACTTTGCACGCAGCTGTATGAAGCGGCTGACCCCGCGCAGAGGCAATTGGCCGAAAAGAGCCTCGTGCAGTTTTCTCACAGCCCCGACTGCCTGAGTAAGTGCCGGCTGTTGCTAGAGCGCGGCAGTTCACCATATTCACAGGTACTCGCCGTCACGACATTGACCAAGCTTGTTAGTCGGACTCCGTCACAGTTGACGTTACAGCAGCGGCTTGATGTCCGCGACTACATCCTGCAGTATCTTTGTCAGCGAGCCAATCTTCAAGCTTTTGTCGTGCAAGGTATGCTCCAACTGTTCGCGCGGATCACGAAGCACGGTTGGCTCGAAGAAACAAAGGATGGTGCGTTTCCATTCCGGAACGTCACCGAACAGCTTCGTGCATACGTAATGGCCTCAAACGAGCATTGCATCATCGCCGTGCAGCTTTTAGCTCAGTTGGTATCCGAAGTCAATCACATCTCCGAAGCTGAAGCCCACCGAAGTCTTACGAAGCAACGCAAGATTGCTTCGTCATTTCGAGATAACCAGCTCTTTGATATCTTCCGGATGGCCTGTGAACTCCTAGAAAAGGGACTGAAGATGTGCCGAGCATCGCCGCAAGATCCGGCCATGGCCGCACCCCTCAACCACCTGCTGCGATTAGCGTACAACTGCTTGACCTTCGATTTTATCGGCACTTCGCCGGATGAGAGCAGTGACGATCTATGCACCGTTCAGATACCTACAGGATGGAGGCCGATTTTTCTCGAAGGGCTGCCTGGTGAGGGAAGCAATACAGTTCAGTTATTTTTTGATTTGTATCAATGCTTACCATCACCGATGGCCTCCGTGGCGCTCAGCTGCGCCGTGCAGATTGCCTCTGTTCGTCGGTCGCTGTTCAACAACACGGAACGGGCCAAGTTTCTATCACATCTTGTTGATGGGGTGAGTAGATGTCGAAGAAGAGCGTAAGTCTATCTAAGAGCGCACTAAGCCTTTGAACATACACAGTCTACATACGGGCTGTGTAAGGAACCTTGTGCCAAGTTATAGTATATTTAACTATTTGATTTGAGTATAATGATAAATCGCATGTTTATATCATAGGAGCATCGTATCTAATTAAAGCATTATATTTAATTTCATTAGTTAAATGGGTGAAAACCTTTGTCGTGTGTTTGCTTTTTACTGGTTTAAATATGTACTGTTCATACTTACCTTATTGTATTCTGTACTGATATATCATTACCAGTACGTACGTTCACACCATGTGTGTGAAGAAGTGGACCTCTCCGTTTCTGGAAATTGCTTCATTTTATTCTTTTCAAATATTGACCCACTTACCTTTGTCTTGTTCAATAGCGTTTCAAGTAAAATACTTTGACGTTTTTTTCTAAACTCTGTTGTGCTTTTCGACTTGATTTTAGGTAAAGAAGATCCTCGAAAGCCCGCAGGGCCTTGCCGAGCAAAGTAGTTGTCATGAATTTTGCCGCCTGTTGGCGCGGTTAAAAAGCAACTATCAACTAGGAGAACTGGTCAAGGTGGAAAGTTACGCGGATACGATTCGGCTCATAAGCGAATTCACAGTCACGTGCATTCAGATGACTCAATTCGGTGCGAATAGCCTTCACTACCTGTTGAGCCTATGGCAGCGCATGGTCGCCTCGATGTCCTACGTAAAGGCAACGGAACCGCACATGCTTGAAGTATACACTCCCCAGATTGTTCAAGCATATATAACATCTCGTCTTGAAATTGCAGCAAAGGTGTGTGTGTGTGTGGTGTTTTCTTTATCTCTTCTTTTACACCCGATATAGTGAGTCTAAGTCAGTGAATGGAAACGTCTCTCTTCTCGGGAAGGAAAATTGAGTAGCAATACCAAAATAGCTTCCATACTGATAAGAATGATCTGCTGCATGTATCGTATGTGTACATGAAGGCAATCATTGTATGTTTAGAATAAATGTTAAATATCGCTGTCACGGCTTACACACAATAAGAAATGAATTTTGGTTTAAGACCATTAAGCATATATCGGGCTACGTATATGTTGGTGTCAGTGTGCGCTTATTACAAGATAACAAAAGATATGCGACGGCTGTTCCTCCTTTATGCAGTCTATATCTACTATAAACTGAGATAGTCTATAAGATGTTGTAGCTGACTAATTGTACGTTCTCTTTTAATTTGCTTGTAGAAGCTAACTTATTTGCACGGTGGTAATACACGATTTAATAAAATAGCATTATTACTTTCATCGTACACTACCGTTCACCTATGTTCTATTGTACCTTGGGGAAGTGTACTTTCAATTACCGAGGTTAACTTCCGTCTTCATACCCTGAGTTTAGGTTGTGCGGCAGAACTTGGAAGATCCTTTGGACGATATCGGTATGGTTCAACAGCAACTCGACCAGTTCTCCGTAATTTGCCGGTGTAAATATGATAAAACGTGTGCGCTTCTGGTGCAAATGTTTGATACCACCGTGACAGTTTGTCAGCAAGGTCAGTATCTTATTGGCATGCATGATTTAAAAACAACCGTTCTTACACACCTGAAATTTCTTACACATCTGAAATGCAGTTGGCCGAGATGGCACATTTGTTTTGCCCCCAGAAAGAGAAAAAGGTTTAGAATATTTTATTGAATGAACAGGATCTGTAGTTTTTTGCATCAATTTATTACCTATGAGAGGTAATATATGTTGTGCATATTCAACGCCAACTTTAATTTAATTTAGGCTGTCACAAGCTACTCCGATGGACTATAGTACATTTTAAACGTGAGCTAGGATGATGACCTTTTCAATATATGTCAGAGGTACTCTCTTTTTTTTTGCAAACTTGTCTCAGCGTTTTGGTAGGTTCTGCATAACCAGATACGCACTATTCGCGTTCCCAGATGTAATTTAGGTATCTAAGGCTTCTTGATGTAACTCGACAGTGCAATGTTCTGTTCCATTAGATACCTTTTTTAGGCCATGTAAAGCCCAGTAAACACACGGATTTGGATTGAAAGAATGAGCAGTCTGAAGCCAACGTTGGATATTTTCTTGTTCAATTCAGAAAGCAATTGACGAACGGCGGCGAGCTCTGATGTAGTTGTCAAGTAACCAGACCACATGCTTTTGATTGCCGTGCCTACAGTCCATGAATCTCTTGAAAAATTCAAGATTGGGGGCTATGTTTATTGTTTAATTTTCAATGAGTTTCTTGTAGTAGCAGATTCTCCTGAGGTTTATTGCAACTACCACCATTACCTTACGTCTGAACCAATTCGATACTGCCATCTAACTTGATTAGTTTCCATTCTTGTGACGCCATTCTCTCAACTGATACATCTCCGTTTCGCAGCAGAGGTCAAATTATGCCTCCTCTATGGAAACTATATGAATCGAAGCATTTTTGTGTTGATTCAGGTTCCGCAAATTGCAAGTAGAGTACATGTGGCGCATTTCCCACTGGCCTTGGGTAGACTCACGGACTCATTTTTTACTCAGTTTCCGCACCTCTAATATTCAAATTATAATTCCGTAACAGATTACGCGTGAAATGCCAGTTTTGGCCGATAGAACTTTTAGATTCTAGAACTTAGAGATTCTAAACTCTATGGTCGTGAAAAGCCTCTTCGATTTTGTGATTTTGTTTTTCGGGTTTTGACATTTGGTAATCCCCTCGCTGGTCTTCAACACTCTAATCTCCATTCTTGAAACGTTTGTACCATTCACGTGCTATAATCTCATTTAACGCCTTTTTGTATAATGTCTTCGATAATCATCGATGAATTTTCGCAGCGCTGTAATCTTTGAGGAATAAAACCTTAACCACTGGGAGTGGATTTTCATGTCTAAAAGACGTTTTTCATTCTGAACTTATTTCTCCTGACATAAACTCCACTGGTTTTTATTCACAAGTTTCTAGAGAGTCTGGAGTAATTTCGTATTAAAAATCATCATTTTAGCTCAACTAGTCAAAAAGTTACTTAATTTCAAGGTCCATCAGATATGCTTTCAACAGCCTAATATTTCCCTTTACTTTTATGATTTGATATCACAGGAAGCCAAGAAAAAGAAGTGACAGAAGCTCAGCTAGCATGGATGGTATACATCATTGGAGCCGCGATCGGTGGTAGGGTATCATTCACTTCTACAGAGGAACAGGACGAAATGGACGGACAAATGGTTTGTCGCGTACTTCAGCTTATGAACTTAACGGATCCGCAAAATAACGGCGCTGGTCGTATACCTGTTGCATCGGAAAAGCTTGAGCTCGCTCTTCTCAGCTTCTTTGAGCAATTTCGACGAATTTATGCAGGAGATCAAGTGCCGAAGACGAGTAGCGTTTATATTGCTCTATCAGAGGTTCTTGGCTTGCCGGATGACTCAGCTGTGCTTGCTGTGTTCGTACGGAAGATTATCACCAATCTTAAATGCTGGAGCAGCTCGGAACAGATCACGCAGAAGACGTTACATCTTCTGTCTGAGTTATCGGTCGGTCATGCGTCCGTTCGTAAATTAATCAAACTCGAAGAGGTTCAGTTCATCCTGAACAATCACAGCGCTGAACACTTTCCATTTCTGGGCTATCCAGCTGCTACGCGCAATACCCGCTGTCGAACGACGTTTTATACGTCGTTAGGGCGAATGCTGTTGATTGAGCTAGGCGAAGACGAAGAACGTTTCGAGCACTTCATGGCACCTTTGACTGTTACAATGGAAAGCGTCGGCAGTCAATTAATGACTATGACAGCTGAAAACATTGGTATGTTCAATTCGGAGGAGGCGAAGAAGGGACTTATAGGTCTCGCTCGGGACTTGCGTGGCCTGAGTATGGCGTTCAATACCAAGACCAGTTACATGATGCTGTTTGATTGGATCTTTCCGAAATACTTTCCCGTACTGCATCGCGCCATCGAATTATGGTTCCACGAGCCTCTCGTAACGACGCCGGTATTGAAACTTATGGCGGAACTGGTGCAGAACCGTTCGCAGCGGCTTCAGTTTGACGTATCTTCACCCAACGGCATCCTGTTGTTTAGGGAGACATCTAAAATGATGGTGACATACGGATCTAGGGTTTTGAGCATTGGCGAAGTGCCCAAGGACCAGCTATACCGGATGAAGCTGAAGGGTATCTCAATTTGCTTCTCAATGCTGAAATCGTCTCTTTGTGGTGGCTACGTCAATTTTGGCGTGTTTAAGCTATACGGAGACTCGGCGTTAGATGACGGCTTGGACACATTTGTCAAGATGCTCATCTCAGTGCCTCAAGATTCGCTGCTGGATTTCCCTAAGCTGAGTCAAACCTATTACATCCTGCTCGAGTGTCTCACACTGGACCACATGAATTTTATCGTCAAGCTCGATCCACAGGTGAATTTAAAGAGAAAGCAATGAATTATCTACTTACTATGACTTCGTCATATATAATAAATAGTTAATTAATATACGTGCTTATTATTTGAGAACCTCTGCTTCTAGAGAAAAAATAGGAAACAATATTCTTTCTCAACGAATCTGCTGAGATAATTTTTTTCTTCTAGTACCTATTAGTCTTACTTGCTTATATTTAGTTTTATTAGTAAGCTAAAGTTTCATATTAACCTTTGTTGGCGGTTTCCGTTTTTCGGTGTTTTAGGTATTTCTCTATATCATCTCTTCAGTATCGGATGGATTAACAGCCTTAGATGCAATGGTGTGCACAGGCTGTTGTGCCATTCTCGACCACATCGTCAGCTACGTTTTTAAGTTTTTAAACAAATCCAAGCCGACCAATCCGGCTGACGTTCCCACGTGTGTACAAGTCCTCGAACACCATCCGGAGATCCTTCAGCAGATGTTAGCAACACTACTTAATATCGTTATGTGGGAGGACTGCCGGAATCAGTGGTCGATGTCGCGACCCCTATTGGGTCTAATTCTATTGAACTCCGACTATTTTGGCCAATTGACGCTATCACTCGTCGAGGCCCAACCGATTGAAAAGCGTCCGGCGATGATGGGCTGGTTCCAAGCGCTCATGCAAGATATTGATCGCAACCTGTTGACGAAAAATCGAGACAAATTCACGATGAATTTATCGGTGTTCCGGCGAGACATCAACGACTCGCTCAAGGGTCAGCAGTCGCACCAAAATCAGACCATCATTGTACAGAACAGCTCTGTTCTTGCGACAACTCTTCCATACAGTGAAATGATGAGCTGAAAGCTTGGTCAAGGCTGGGCAAGACACATACGAAGAACGGACTATTATTATTATACTAGATTGGACTAACGCAGTATAAGTGATTAGAATAACGTTAGAAACGCCTTCGTCTAAGTGCTGAGGTATTGTTGAGGTTTATGAACATAAAGACCAAACCCTTGCTCATAACCCAGCACGCTGTACAGTAGATGGTCTTTTAAGGTGATATATATGATAATTGCTAATACAAATAATAACGAATGTGCCGGGTAACCGTGGAGACAAAACCGTACAAACGCCGACAGCACACAACTCTGGTGAACGGACACCGATTCACGATAATCTTCTAGATATGGACGAAGTTATGTATTAATTATGGTATAGAAAGCAAACAAAGAAACGGACGGAACAACGGCGAATATCGTAGAAAAGAAATGATACTGATATGTGTTACGAAATAACCCTATTAAAAAAAGGTAAACGATATCATAGCGTCAGTGTGTCATTACAGGTTGTGTACGTATGGACTGCCTATTGCATCGAACAAAAAGAAAAAGACGTCGTAGATTTTTGCAAACCGAAGGCCAATTGAAAGAATTTCAAATAGTCGAGCGGTATTGCCACCTGCTCGCGAGGTGTTTGACGAATTTCGCAGACGGTACAGAAATAATATAAACACACACACATTGAGTAAGGACCATAGGAAGGGAGAAAATGACTATAAGGAAAAATTAACTTTCTTTACGAAGTAGACAAATGCCGAAGAGAAGCTCCGCCAACCTAGAGGGGAAAGGGGGGGGGGAGAGGTATAGGATTGGAGAGAAGATTCAAACCAGAGCAGTTCTCGAAGTTATGGATATTGGAACTTTGGGAATAGATACCTCAGCTGGCACGGGTTTTATCATAATTTGAATCAAAATTGATGTCATTGGTGGTCACCGACATATAACTGTCATCTTTTCTGTTAGTTCGGCAGGAATAGCAACTGGTCGGAACAGGAATGAATTAAAATCGCGGAATCGTTAACTCCGACGCACAAAACGAACCTTCATGAATAGCAAAGAAGGACGGCTCATGATAATCATGTTGCATGTCCGGAGAAGGTAAGCTAGGAAAGGGCATTGTGTACTGCCGGTGAGGTATAGCGCAACTTAGTTCGAGTAATGGCAGAAAATACGGATACCTCGGCCGTTTGCAAATAATGCGTGGCACGAAATAAAGGGTCTATGTCTCCTATACAGGTTGAAGGAGAAATGCTTTCGAGGACAGCTAAGTCTAATAAAAGATTCATTTAAGGGTCATCGCGAATGAGTTAACGTAACGATTTGCCTAAACGCAGCTGTCATCGAGGCCACTAGCCGTGCGTATTATGCGTTGTCGAAATGGAATAAAATGCAAAAATAATGAAATCGAATTAACAATGAAAAACATACTGTTTAGGTAAATATATTTAAAAAAAAAACAAAAACAAAATATATCAAAGGACAACTTTATCGTAATTAATTCGTCACCGATGATGATGATTTTTTCCAAGAGAAAATAGACTAGTGCCGCGTCACACCTCGGCACAACGGATGCAATGTCTCTGTCTATCTGTGTGTGTAGTCTTTTCCACGAGTGTAATATGCGCGTTTTGAGTACGTGTGGATATGATAAACGAGTAAATGTGTTATACTGATGAAAGTGCATCGAGAGAACAAGAAAACGTAAACAATAAAAGGAGGTTTAGCTCCAGACAAAGATGATCCAAGATAATAAGTTTAGTATTTTGGATGGAACTTGTAAAGCTGAGTGGCAACAAGTAATAACAACTATGGTGTGACATAGGGATAACTAGACAGTTCGGATCGTAACAACTGGGTTTGAAGACTAATGACAAAAATATGAAACAAGGGTTCGTTGTCGAACCCATGTTTTCATGTACTTGATTTAATTCGAAATGTCGCTTACATCTCCTAGTGTGCAAGAAGCGAACTGGATCTGAATGCGAACATCGCACGAAGATAGGCAGTACCACAAGTAAAAAACAAGTGCTTTTGGGACAGTAAGTGTTGCACCAAAATACTAATAATTTAGGCAAGGATAACCTACGCTATTACTAGGCTGGTTAAGGAACGAATGTCGACTAAAGACTGTGAGAGGTAACAATAAATATTACTATGGTAATGAGAAAAGTATAGTAAAAAGCAGAGAACAGCAAAATATTATAAAAGAACTGATAGTCGTGGTAAGATAGTTGAGTTGTAAAAGTGTTAAGGAACTGAGGAGATGTGGGAAAGTGGCGAGAGTGAGAATTTTAAATTGTGATGATAAAATACAGATAACGATGACGACAACGATGATAATGATGGTGGTGTCGAAGAAACGAAAATGTTGTAATAAATATTTTTTTTCCATGAAAAACGTCTAAGTCTTATATTCCTTTTTATTCGCAGCTGCGAATAAATTAGCGTGCATAGTCTCAACTCTAGAACTTTCCATTCTGATGAGTGTATTTATTATATATATATGAAACGTCTTTTTATTTCTAAAAGTTCCCAAAAATAAAGTTGAACTCGTCTATCGTACGTACCCGAAGATACAGTGTAGTAACCTCGAGCAGACCTGTTATTATCCATTAATAACTCTGTACCTTTCCAGGTGCTGTCCAACAACGTATAAAAAGATTGTTTTTTTGCATTATTAGTAAAGACCCCGCTTTTTTCCAAACCCTAAACCTGCACCCTACCTTTTTTTGGCTACTTATATATCTTAAACTATGATGAACTGATCAAGCCGGTAACCATTAGAGCAACAACACCTAGTTAAAGTCAAGATATCTAGTATCGATAACTGAGTCCACTGCGTTTTGATAATCTGTAAATACTGCGCACGATATGCTTCAGAGCAGCTTTAGTTGTATTCAGTTCAATAGAGAATCCGTAAGAATACAACTAATAAGACAAATCCACATTCGTGTTACAATCTTGTCAGACATATGTTTACATAGAGGCTTTAAAAAGCCATGCAATACAATTGAATTATCTGTCACAGTCAAACTGTGCCGAGATAATGGGGGGTGACTATATGGTGTGGAATTATATTTTTCAAGGGAAATTAGACGTTGTTTTCTTGGAGCACCAAGTTGATGACAAACATCAGGTACTTTAATAATTAGTCTTAAGACTAGATGTTTTTGAGACGTGGCCAAAGCAAAATACTTAAGAATGCCATCTGCTCAGTTTTCAAAAAAGGTGAGGAAAATCGAAATACAAAATAACCAGTATAAATGTAGCTGCGTATATGACTATAAAATTATGAACAGTTGCGTCTAGCTCGAGAAAAAGTGCGTTGAGTGGAACTTAGAATCAATACAAACGTTGACGGAGATTCTAACGTTATGTATGGTACCGGAGATTTGTTCGCGATACTTTCCATTTGATAACTTTAGTATGCCCCAAAAAAGATACTACCTGCTTTTTATGCTGAGTAGGTTGCAAAAATTTGCGAACTGTACTATATGACCATTAGACGAAATTCTAAAAGGTGGCGTGGTCCACGAAGGTGATGTGCATCCCTTTGAATGCATTGCCATACCTGACACGCATATTGCCTCGCTGGCTCATATCTCAACGCTGTCTAAAATTATTACCAGATGTTGCTATTAAGGAATATAAGGGATGAGGGGGAAAGAAGGAATTAAAAATAAGGTCTTATTATTATCAAAATTCACAGTTGCTTGTATAATTGCCATGCTGTTTCACAGGTCTGTTAGAAAAACCCCAGATAAACCCTGCAAGACCAATTCCTGTTACTCGCACTCTTGATGAAGGCAATTCGTTGATGTTATACCTAAAAAAAGGTCATACCAAGTACCTGTTTATCTTGACGAATAACTGAAAATGCTAGAAAAGTATTATTGATTTAGTTTTATGCTTGAGGGATAAGTGACGCAACAGCTGGGATATACCTTACGCGATCAAATAACCTAAATATTTCGAGTTTTACGTCCGATACTGCTATTGCTATACAACATTGCTCCAGGAGACCAACGAAGCGTGATTATATTAAAATGTATATACTTCGAATGACCGAACCACGGTCTTGAGTAACCCATGAAAACTTAGATAATTTCTCGGCCTCGTCCTACAAAATAAGTCTAGGACTAGTAGCGCATATGTGTGGAGTGATACACACCTAGGCTCAAATAATCTCAGATAGAATCACAATGGTCTTACAAAGTCTGGCCTCCGCGGCCAGACTTTTATTAGGTGTCTGGAACTATGTTATGCATGCAGGTGCAACCTAGTAGAACAAAGCATGCGTGTTGATATTTGATATGGGAATATTGAGTTCAGTTAGTCAGATATGGTTCCTATTACGATCAGTTGCAGATTTTTAATTCTTGATAGGATACCAAAAAGGTTTTTTCGTAGGGTTGAATTTAGATTTGACATTCAAAGAGGATCAATTGTGATAACATCGACGCCAGATTTAATGCAAACCATAGATGTAATTGATTTTAGAAGGATACTAAAAGCGGTCTGCCGTTTAACACAACCACTGGTAGAAACGACTGTGTATACAACCTTTATTTATAACAAGTATATAAGGACGTGGTCTTTAAAAAACTTATTTACTACGGTTAATTGTGAGGAAATGGGTCCATCTTTAGGTACGCGTACACCCTCACAAGTAGTGGCAGCATCTAGTATAATGAAACGACTGGGTACAATGGTAAAACAGCCTTCAACCTTCCACAGGTTATTGGACAGTATGATGCGGTTGCTTTTTATGGAAAAACAGGTGCTGTTCCATCCTCAGGGTTCTGCCTATAGGAAAACGGTGATAACATCAAATAACCTCCTTTGCGGATCGAAGGTACACGACTCGTGTCGGCTATAAAACGAAAACGATAGGTATGTGTTTATCATACTGTATTGTTCCGCTTAGACAAAATTTCAGGAGTTACTACGTTATTGTTGGCTAACTTGTAATTCTTAGCATAAGTAATGCCTGTAGAAGCCCAGCAACCTGTGTTTCAATTGAAAAAAACTTTACTTGTAAGGACATCATGGGTCAAGCTTTCACAAAGAGGTTTGGGTATAACTTTTATGTAGCGATCGAAAGCAACCAAAATAGCTTAATTATATATGAGCCGGGTGTGGGTCTCAGTTTCGGCAACTGGGCTTGTTGCTTCTGTTAAGACCACTGCCCACTTATCTCAAATCCTTCCCTTTGTTTGACTCCGGGCCAACCTGGATCTTCATTTAATAATATTACAGATTAACAGAATTTTGTTGCAGTCATTATCCATCGTCCACAATTGGATCATTTTATTTTATGAAGATTTATTGTCTCAGCTTATTGCAATCGAATGTATGCAGTGCAACTGAAATGTTTATTAGGTAACAAATAAATAAATAAATACAAATAACAAATAAATAAACCGAGCTTTCATCTGTTTCAAAGAGTTGGTTGATAACTATACGGGGTACGCCTGCATTTTGTACCACCACTATGATGCAAGCAAGCTAATGGTGCACTCATCACAAAATATACTACTTCAGAATTAAGGCGTCGGCATGACGGCTCTAAAATTATTTAGATCACAAAGAAATGCATAAGGACACATTTAAAATGGTGGAAAATCGCCGATTGGTTCAGTAATAGGTTTTACGTTAAACATATATGTGCTTAACGTAAAACCTAATCTAAATAATAAAGCATTTGAATAATAACTACACATTTTCTGTATTGACTGCAAAGCGGTGCAAATATCATGCTTGTGGTCGAGACAATATGGAATAGGGTAAACTGTGAATTTTCGCTCTTTTTTTTGCTTCCTTTTTTCGTAAAAATAATTTTCCTGAACATCCCAACTTTTGATATTAACGCACATGAACTAATATCATCGTTTTACAAATAAAGCATATTCGTTCGATCAAAAGGTTAACTTATAAAATATAGGTCTACCAGTGCTCAATACATCGGTCCTATTGACGGGTCCTATACAAATAACCTTTAAAAAGTCAAATTGATCGATAAGCGTATGTGATTCTATTTGCAGAGAGTAGACAAATCGTGAAAAACAATCTTATCGTTTTTCGTCCCAGCTGCGCTACATTCCAGTATTGAGTCGGCCCTCTGATGCAAAAAGGCGCCATCATACTTCGAACAGAGGCTACTGCTACCCCCGGGCGCTAGCCAGCCGCCGCTGCCACTGTTATCGTCATACTTGCCAGTTGCTTTGCCGTCGTTATCTCTCCGTCTGGCTTCTCTAGGCAGTCTGGCGAAAGCATCCCTTTGACGGAACAGGCGAACGCACGACAGAGCTTTCCCTGTCTGTCGTCCGCGTCTGCTTTTTTCGAGTAGTGGCTGTTAATCGCAACACTAGCAGCGAACACAGCATCAGCAGAAACCGAGGCAGCGGCGTCACACGCTACTCTATATCAGCACAGCACTCTTCTCAAAAAGTAAACGGAGCGTTTGTCAACGGCTCGGCTCAGCCACCGACGGCTGCGCGGCGACTGCCACTGCTCTCACAGCAATAGCTGGCTGACGGCTTTGTTTTGTTCTGCTGCTGCTGCTGCTGCTGCTGCTGCTGCTGTGGAAGATGCATACCGCTGATATGTTCCCGCTGGCGTAGGCTGCTCTTTGTCTCCCTGTGCTGCTGCTGCTTCAGCATATCAGAACGGCAGCAGTGACTTGTGTGTTTTCGCCTGGTTAGTTCGTTGTATTGTGGCGTTAACGTTAGTGGTAACTGTGACGAACGTTGGCGAGTGGGCGGCGAACAGTGGTGTCCGGCAGTCCGCGCTGCTGGTACCACTTAACGTAACCTGTGCTTACACTATTGTAGTATTATGGTCTACGACGACTAGCACTCCGGCTGCTGTGCCGCTGCGGACGGCTGCCTGCTCTCGCTGCTGTTGCTGCTGCTGCTGTTGTTGCAAGTGCCGCCACCGCCGCCGTCGTCGCTGCTGTAAAGAAGAAAGATTGCAGCACAAATTTAACGTTAGGTTTGGTATGGTGCTGCGGTGCCACTATATTTGCTGCTACTGTTGCGAAGTCGTTGTGTTTAGTGAGCTTATGGTTGATTCGAGCTGGCAGTCCGTGGCAGTCGGTCGGATTTACGGCTGTACTGCCCCTAATCACATAGCGAGGGGTCGGTGACGAAGATCCTTATTGCCTGGAAGCTGCTGACTGGCCTCGCTAGTATTGCTGCTGTTGGTATTGATGATGATAGTCGGTATCGAACAATAGCAGCCTTGATGCGACGAGGATTATTTGTAGAAAAGATCTAGTGGAAGGGGCACTAAGTGCGTTGAGCCAGTGCTACGAGTATTGGCCCTATTGCTGGAGGCAGTGTGTCCGTACCGTTCAACCATACACATACGTATTTGTATACATATACAAATATATATATATATATACACAAACATATTCAGCTAAGGTAACCTTGCTTGTTGGCCTTTAGGTGGCCAGTGGTCAACGTTTTTGGTGACAATGAGCGTCGAAAGAGTGTGAGGTTTTTATATACTGACCTAAAAGAGTCTGTCGTTGTCGTCGTCGTCGTTGTCGTCGTCGTCATCGCCGTCGTCGTTGTCATCGTCGTCGTCGTCGTCGTAGTGCCGGTCGCCCGAAAGCAGTCGTGTAACAACAATTATGCTAATTTGACGTCTGAGTGTATACAGCGGTTCGGATTTGATTAATCGCACGGTTATGTTGCTGGTAACATTGTGGTAACTTCAAGTGTAATACAAAGTCTACAAACAACACCTTTTGCTGGCGTTGGCAAAAAAAACGTCATTGTCATCGTTTAGCTATTCGTTTGTCAGGAGCGTGGTGAGTTTCGTCGTTCCGCTTACTACCATTTTCACACTGTCACCACACTGTATGCCGAGAAAGCCGAATTCTAGACCAGGAAGAATTCTACCTCAACGTGTAGAGTAAGCGAAACCTAAAAGGACGGAGTATAGGTCTGCTAAACCTCATCGTGACGGAAGTATGTGCTGCAGTGATTAGAAATTTGATTTTTTCGTACATTGTGAGTGTTGTATGTAATTGTCGGCTTACGCTGTACTGGCAGCAATCCAATCGTCCGTGCACACGGTCGACAATGGACAGCGACGAGGAGCTGGGTTTTGGTGTCGATTCAGGTACGTCAGTACAATCAGCACTTGTATTGGTTGGGTCATAAAAATCTTTAGATGCATACAAACACACACATATATGTATATATCTGGTTCAATGAAATCAGCTCGTCTTCACCAGCTACATATCGTCTAGACTGATGGCGATCGAAGAATCAGGCGCATGTGATCGGCAATGACAGCGGCGAATGGTATCTAGTCTTTGTTTTGGTTTATTCTATTTCCGATGATGACTCAGGGCATAGGCAGTGAGCTATTCCTCCAACAGTCTGGCTTCTTCCCTGTCTCTTAGATAATAATTAAATGGAATTACCACCGATTGTAGTTAATCTTGAGACAACGATTTAGAACAACAGAGCACCGCTCGAGAAGGAAATACGAATTGCTGTAATTATTCGCGCTGCCGGTAATGCGCGAAACTGCCAAATAAAGTGTATCATTTGTGCTTAAATCGGCTGTTACCCAGAAATTCACGAATGAAATTGTTTGCAAGGAATTGAGATGCCCTGTGGGAGCTTAGTAGAAAAATGGAACCCAAAACGTGTATTTCTAATAGACGATGACACGATAGTTTTATATAACTCAAGAAATGTCTTTACTTTGGGTGCGATGAAGGTAATGAGTGGAAAGAGACGAACCGGCTAAACACACGTGACTTCACTGTGCATGCGTTTCGCTATAGACTCTGCGGGCAACCGGGTTTCCACGAGCCTAACAATACATATAAATGCTCCAGATGCAGAGGGAATTGTTGTTCCTATATACCAGGTTCAGGATATTTCGCACATCTCTTAAATTTACCAACCCAACCAGATTCGTATAACCTATAGTATGCATAGCGTGTTAAATAATTCTATATACTCTCCCTGGTATTCGGATGGTGTGTTGTTAACCTGTGCATATATAATTTCTACTATTACCAGTAAAGGTGAATAAATGAAATTCGTTTTGGCTAGACCGCTTGTCTAATTGCATTATTGTTGACGACGAAGAACAACAACAAAAATATGCGATCTTTGAGATACCTAATCAATGACCGTAGGCTCGAATGTACCCGACAGTGCGGGTGGAAACTGAACGTCATGCTCTAGATGATAGCCACATAGTTACCGCAAAGTTTATGTAACTTCATTGAAAATCTTGTGGATCGTACCGCACTAAAACGGTGCCGGCAAATAAAATGACAATTTATTGGAAAGCCACAGCAGGCATGATTCCTTTCATGCCTTATAACCAACCAGGACACTATCGAAAAAGCAGGGGGGAAAACTCGTAGGTGATGAACCTGCAATTTCAATTTTAGGCGAAACAATCCAAGAGTGTAATGTCGCTTTCTTCTTTTGGAAAAACGCTTTGACAAGTGTTGCCGAAATATGAGCATTAATCGATCACTCTGTCGCAGATCAGACAGTGCTTAGGTATTAAATCTAGCCCATAATTAAGACGAAGCATTTCTATACATTGCACAGATAGAACCGAGAAAGGAGAAGGGTATAAACGCCAGAGAAAGCTATTAAGAGGTAATTTAACTTTGTCATTACAGAGACAATATAGACGAAGTGTTTAATGCAAAGACGAATGTCAAGCCTCTCTTAGCTTCGAATCTTCTGCTTATCCAATTTAGAACTACCTAGTGAACCGTAACGTCATTTCTTTATCGGAGTGGCTATGCATGAAGTACCTTGCGTGTAACTTCAATACGGCTACGAAAAGAAATTCTACATCTATGACTACCCTACAGTGAGATAATGCTTATTGGATGTAGTGGGTAACGTATTTGTCTGCTAATCTTAGGAACACATTGTGGTTTAGGTTCGAAAGAGGACACAGACAGACTCCGCCTCGTGCTGAGAGCCACCGGTCTGATGGAATGCCTAACGGACGTCAAAACTCGAAACAGGATGTGCTGAGCAATCCTTGCGATCACTTACTAGAATTTGTGAAGATAACAAACGTAAAAATAAATAAAGTTCATGCCTAAAGGGTGCTTGTTCTTTCGCTAGACAATGCCATCCTTATCAACTAATGTAGATAATTACATTTTGTCTGTGTGAATAATGATCAGTTATAATAGGGAGAGTTGTTTCAATCGTTGTTTAGTACGAGGTGAATTCCTCGCTTGGATGCTTTTGCTGGTCCTAAGTGAAGTCAACGAAAACAAAATAATTTTAAATCCAGCATTAAACAAAAAATAGCTTTCGGCAGCCGATTCGTTATATACGATTTCCTTCACGTAGTACCTTATGCACATCAACTACTAATCAGAGGCACTGCACAAACCGAATTCTGAACGCAATCTGTTAGCGGTCAGAATCTGCATAAAAATCCGCCCTGATTAATCTATATTAATTTCAAATCCGATTTTATGAAGTTGAAATGTTCTTGAAATTGCTTCTGAGCGATAGCAAACTAAACACAAACAACGAAACTGAGATTTGAAACGAGTTATTTATCGCAAACTTCGAGATTTTGTTCCCAGCTCTTTTTCATAAGCTAACAGAGATTATTAGCAGAGTAACGTGGTTCGGCGTGTAATGAATATGTCTCATAGAAGTATCAAACATTGTAAGCATCGGTTAAATCAGGAATAGCATCGACATGGTCTGCATATGGAAGGTTGGCCACTGTCCATGGATAAAAGTCTACAGTTGGTCCTGGTGTAACGCTATTACTGTGCTAATTAGGTGGGATTCCAAAGCACGGATCTGACATCTACTTACACTCGAAGCATAGTATGAATCCAACCGACAGCGTACGCGTTTATTCGGAATGGGCGCTATGATTCGGTACTTTTTTTGTACAAGTACGTCTTATTACGTTTCGGCTGAGTTTCCATAAATATTTCCTACGTCCTAGATCAGTGAGATTTCGATTGCGAAGGATATTATGGAAGTTAATAATATTAATCATTGTTTTGGACTGTATTTACTAAATAGGCGCATCGTTATAAATAAAACTGGCCTCGGAGCCTAATTAATGTGTTAACAATGTTTCCAAATAATATAGGAGTATAGCAAGTATCTGATACGGTATTAGTCGATGGCATAGACAACAACTGTTTGAAATGAGAACCTGTTGTAAGTATGAAATTTTGAACAAGAAGGATGCATTCAACATGTCTGTCACCTTACTTACTTATTTACAGCAAAGCTGCTTTGCGAATATGGGCAGTAATCTAGCTTTTTTCTAATAAGGTAGTTATTATATCCGGATTAGGGCACTCTTTCTGCATTGATTTATATTCTAGAATAATTCCTCGGCCGATTTTAACAAATCACACAGTACCTTTGCTCAACCTATTTTAGATTGAGCATATGAATCACAAGTTAATTACCTTGTTTCCATCTACGGACTTGTTCGATTTATGAAGGACCTTCAATGCCGCTATTACGAAATTATTGACTCTTCGTAGGTCATCACGAGGTATGAGACAGTGGAACGTTGCGCCTGACCTTGTAGCCTTCTCGTCAACAAGCCAAACCGTAAATTGCAGTATCCGTCGTTTTTTTTCCTTATACCGCTAAGCTACATTATTGAAGTGTGCTGAATTCCGACACAAGTATATATTTCTATATTTTGATTATAGGTAATGAAACCTCAGGAGAAGATGAAGACATGGGTCTTGAAGCTGAGCCGCTGGGAGCTGGTGGCTTTCCTGCTGGTGGTCGAAGGACTGATGAAGACTCGCCTTACCACGTACTTTCCACGGAGGATATCGTTAAGTACATGGTGGATACGATAAAGGAGGTCAACACCATCGTAGAGGTAACCCAGAGCAGGATCGTATCATACGAGCTTTACATACCGTTTCGAGTTTGAAAACTTTTTTCTGGCTTATTTTGAGAAAAACGCTATAGTGAGTTAGTATTAATTTCTTTCCTAATGTTTATTTTCCTGATGTTTGTTTTGATAATTTTCGAATCGTTTAATAATCGTCATTTCAGCAGATTCCTCCAACAATGACACGAATTCTGCTCAACCACTTTAAATGGGATTTGGAAAAACTTTACGAGAAATACTACGATGGCGATCAAGAAACGCTGTTTCAGCAGGCTCACATCGTCTACCCTTTTAAAGGCTCGGCTTTGGCCGATAAGGTAATTGTAGTTATGCAAACTTTTGTTTCCATATCATCCAATGCTTCTAAGTTTCAAAGTACTGCCAGCAGTGATTTATTCAGGTATTTTCTCCCTACACTACAAATATGCGGTTAGATCTTCATTTTTCAAGAATTCATGCTACTTAATTTGGCAACGATGCTTATATATCGCCATTGATGGAATCGTGGAAGATAAACTTACTACAGGCCTGTATGGCTGCAGATTGTTTAACTGTAAACTGTCTTTTTATGTCAAATTTCAGAAGCAGCCTTCAGCAGCAATGGAGGAATGCGAAATCTGCTTGAAGCGCGTACCATGCAGTTCGATGGCAGCGTTAGCATGTGACCACCGGTTCTGCACCGATTGTTGGAATTACTATCTTACAACGAAAATTATGGAAGAAGGAATCGGGCAGACGATCTCGTGTGCAGCGCACGGCTGCGATATTTTGGTAGATGATCAAACCGTAATGCGGCTCATAACCGATCAGAAGGTATGTACATGCAAAATGCCTAAGCTTTCCAAAACTCTGATATTAGTTTCGGAAGCCGGCGGCACGCTTGTTAATAACATTATTATAGGTAGAACTGAAGCTCTATGGAAACATTTTTTGAGGTACAAAGAAAAAGAGGGTAACAGGTTATTTGGTTTTCACGACTGTCCTTGACGATTTCTAATTAAATTTTGTCTTCTATTGGGGGCTGGTATTTTTAATGAATATATGCCCGCAAATTGCACGGTAATTATTAAGTCCAACGATAGGAGACGACTGCAAAAGCCTGTGAAGATTTTTGCAGTTGTCAAGTAAGTTCGAAGTACCCTGTCAGCCACATAATAGTACATGTTAATCTAGGAATTACTTTTCGTTCCTGCTCGCTGATTCCACAGGTGAAGCTCAAATATCAGCACTTAATTACAAACAGCTTTGTCCAGTGCAACAGACTTCTACGGTGGTGTCCAAAACCTGAGTGCACGAATGCCATTAAGGTAGGAACGATGACTGATCTCATTTTGTTACGCAAAAGGTTGCATAGAGCTTGGCAATATATCTGTGATAAAATATCTAAAAAAGGTACTACTCCGCACAGCTTGCAACCGAAAAGCTCCATTGTGATCGTCAACCGTTATTATTACATTAATATTTTTATAATTATTTGCAATACTTTCGTCGTCTTCGTGTTTTTGGAAATCTACCCTTGTCCTTGTATCGTGATTTAATTACAGCAGTTTTCATGGTCATATAGGTGAGCTACGTGGAGGCTCGCGCCGTTACCTGTAACTGCGGACACACGTTTTGTTTTGCATGCGGCGAAAATTGGCACGATCCCGTTCGCTGTGGCCTAATAAAAAAATGGCAAAAGAAGGTAAGTGGCGGCCATCCTTGGAAAAGCTGTTCGGCACGGAATCGTGTCAAAGCAAGGTGAGCATGGCTACGATAGAAGTGCACGAGCTAAGGTAATCAAATTGACATTTGTTTGTTCCGACTTTAGTGCGACGATGATTCCGAAACGTCAAATTGGATTGCTGCAAATACGAAGGAATGCCCAAAGTGCTACGTTACAATTGAAAAGGTAATCCGCGCCACTGTCGCCTTGTATACCTCGAGAAGCACATATTATTGACATTGGTATTAAAATATCGTACGCATTTGCTAACCAACTCTGCTGTATTTCCAGGATGGCGGCTGCAATCATATGGTGTGTAAGAACCAAAACTGCAAAATGGACTTCTGCTGGGTGTGTCTAGGTCCCTGGGAGCCGCATGGCACGTCGTGGTATAACTGCAATAGATTCGACGAGGTTGAGGCGAAGAAGGCACGTGACGCTCAGGAAAAATCGCGGGGAGCTCTACAACGCTATTTGTTCTACTGTAACCGCTATTTAAACCACATGCAGTCCCTGAAATTTGAGAACAATTTGTACGCGGCAATCAAGCTAAAAATGGAGGAGATGCAACAACACAACATGTCGTGGATTGAAGTTCAGTTTCTGAAGAAAGCTGTCGATGTACTCTGTCAGTGTCGGCAAACGCTCATGTATACGTACGTGTTTGCCTATTACTTGTCGAGGAACAATCAAAGCGCCATTTTCGAGGACAACCAACGGGATCTCGAGAGCGCGACGGAAACGCTTAGTGAATACCTTGAGCGGGAAATTACCTCGGAAAATCTTCACGATATTAAACAAAAAGTCCAGGACAAATACAGGTGAGTCTGAATCAAGTGTACGTATCATTGTCTATAAAGATCCGGTAAACACGAACCTTGAATATCCGCTATCTCCTATCCGTCAAATACGATTAAAGCCATATCTTAAAAAGAACGTGTGGAACAGCAGTTCCTCCGGAAACCCAATAAGTTTCATTGCGGATCCGTTTGAATCTATATTTTCAGCGACATTCATAGCCAAGCCGACAATCGGCTAACGTCAAATTCTGACTCCGACCCGGCGTTAAAACGGACCCTATATTAAGACAGACGGACACACATCATTAGAGACAATACATACGTTTAACTTCAGTTAGCCATTTTCAACATTAGATGCCTGTCATCGACTCCGGCGGATGTATTCTCTTGCTTCGAAAACGTGTTTTCGGTCTACGTCATAGGTTTCCGCTTCTGTTTTTTGCCGTTTTCAACTAAAATATTCCTCTCATTAGGACCTTTCGATTGGTAGCAAGAGACTCGCGGGTAACATTGAAAAAAACGTTGACCTATAACATCGGCCTTCGGTATATAAACGTAAATCGTTTTTCTCAGCTGACTGAGCTTACGACAGACGAGCTTACGATAGAGTAACGTCTATTGTAAGCTCGTCTATCGTAACTATCATATTATCCAAAAAGAATTATTCTATGATAATAATAAAGAAAAACACATTTAAGTATAGGAAAATTATAAGTGGTTTTACCTTTATTTAATGACACTACGGTGGTGTTACCCAA